GTGTGCTGAGCTGTCGGCCACGCAGTCCACCGATTTCGACCTTCTCTAATTTCAGGAATTCAATCACAGTAAAAAAGAACCTGCAAAAGGGGTAGAATAGAGCTCAGAGTAATGTAAATCATAAATTCCACTGCACTTACCACTGTATGGTGGTGAGTCGCTCGAGAAAGGCATTAAAGCGCTTGAAAACTGAATTTGGATGAAAAGTCCATAAAATCGGTGGCCGCTCCTCGGGCTCCGTAAAGAATGTTGCCAGACGTTCCTTATAATAGTCAAACAATTCCCGAAAGAATTTTAAGATCTGTATGGACAGCGTAAGGCGTTGCATGGCCTCATCAATGTCGCTGTGGAATATGGATGATGGATCCAAATATCTCTTGGCCTGTAATAGATTGGTAATAATTAATTGCATCAGCGTTTACTATTATCGTTTGCCTTTACCTGGTGTATAATCAAGTTGCATATCTCCTGTAGCAGTACTGTGATCTTTGCCGACTGGCAGTAGTACCGCGAATTGCCCCACAAAATGCACACAATATTCATGAATGGTATGAGCAGAGGCTTGCACTCGGCAAAATCAATCTCCTCCAGGTGCTGTAGCGGGCGTTTTAGCGGATTCAAATAGAGTGTTATGTCCTTTGCCTCTGCCAGAGCTATCACGATTGGGTTTCAATCAAATGCAAATTACTGATTGGCATGCAAAAGGCACATCCATCCACTCACCCGTAACGACATTCTTGAAGAGGGTCTGAAAGCACGGATGGTAGGCGCTCATCGAGTACTCCAGTATCAGGGCCATGGCTCGAATGCGCTCATTGCGCAATTGGTCGTAGATAAATGACAGATTCTTGAGGCGATTATTCCAAAATGTAAACTCTGTTTGGGGGTTGAGAAGAGGAGAGTTTTGATGAGTAAAGTTTTATGGTTAAGCTTATAAATTCATATTTATGAGAAATAAATGAAATTGTGAAAGTTTTGTCATTGAAGTTTTGTAGAAAAGAGAAAAGACTAGAAAGCAGAACGGAATAGTTTAATTGACTTAAAGACCTGCAAACAATCCTGCAAAATTATATTAAATCAGGTACTATCTGAGATCTTTTTAGTCCCAAATCAAAGTTCTGCTTACAAATCTTACTTTCATCTGTACTTCTGGCGCCCAAATTTGTTTCTACCTTCTCATCCATTGTACTTCCATTATACCGCCTGCACTCTTCGCTATTTTTCCCAGTTAAAACCATAAAAATCGCTTCTGCTTTAGGCACAGCCAATCCTTTAGCTACGTCCATGCCCTGCGTCAAAAGTCAACATGTCATATGGGCCAAAAAAAAACCCTTTGAGCCTCTGGTACAATAATAAGAAACCAACGAAATAAATATTGCATGCACATGAAATGTCATTCGTGAACAGATAATAAAAACGAAACTTTGTGTGGATGAGCCACATGGAACATGCAAATTTTTGGGGTTGCTAGGATATCTGGAAACTTGAATTTTATCAATAAATAATAAATGGAAGGAGCCAAAAATAACCGACACAAAACATGTGTGTGGTGCCGGCACTGACTTACCCGTGTGTGGCGTTGGATTCTGGCCATTGGCGAAGGCATTCGAGGGACTCTCCTTGATGACCTCATGGATCTGGGTGGCCCACTTGATTACCACACCCTCGATGGCACTCTTTAGATACAAGTCGAACTGGCACTGCTCCGTCTCGACCAGCTCCTTGGCCGCCTTCACAATCTTCTCGACGCCCACGGGCATGGCCAGTATGGTTTCGCCGCTCACCTGACCCTTCACCTGATGCACGGTGCTCTTGAGGCTGTGCACATGCTTCTGCACATCCTGTGCCACCATAATGGGCCAGCTCCTGTAGTTATCCTCGTTGGAGAGCAGCGGCACGAGCACCTCCTCCACCAGGGCGGACAGTTGATCAATGGTGCGCGTGGCCAAATCCCCATAGATGATATAATTGCCACAATCCTCGCGTGGCACAGGCTCAGCATAGCGTTTAATGAAGTAAACTCCCTTGCTCTTAAGCTGCGACAGCGGAAATGTGGTGGACGGCACCAGTTGGGCGGCGGGCGTCAGTATAATGATGAGTACCACGGGCACATTTCTGTCCAGGAACTCTTTGATTATGCCCTTGTGCTCCTCCACCGTGATGACACGCGTCCATTTCTCCGGCTTCAGTTTGAGTGACTTGATGACAAAGGAGCCCATCAGCTCTAGCCTTGGATCCGGTCCGCCCCCAGCCGCTGCAGCAGCGGCTTCGGCGCTCGTGGATGGTTCCATGGCTCCTGCCAGCGTGCTGCTTGTTACTCTCTGGGGGGAGGGCTTTCTACAGTTGTTATTCTGGTTGTCTGCTGCTGTTGTTGTTGTTGTTTTTGCTGTGGGGGGGAAGTGCACATGCATATTTAGGTTCAATTGTTTGGATGACCTTGTTACCACTAACAACTATATATAACTAATCAATAAAATCTGTCAAATCAATATGATTTCATGGTGAATTCTACAATAGTATCTAAAAGTTATGCATAGTTTTCACACATTTTTAGCCAGTTTTCCCGCAGTTTTTAACAATTTTCACACGTTACATAACACGAAAATGGCAGAAAATTTAAGATTTTTCCATGCAAGAAACACAAATTTGCAAATTAATTGATTAAATAACTATCATTTGTGGTTAAAATTAAATCACTGAGTATTTCGAATTATATTTCAAGTTTTTAATTATGTTTTATATATTTATATATATTTTATTAAATTTTTCAAGGTTTATCCCTAGTTTTACTTTTTCCTTATGTCAACTGCTTACCTGCGGCGTTGGTACGCGACTGAGTGCGACATTTTTTTAAACGGCAATTGGCGTCTGCCGCTGGCTGGAAAAGTGATCGTGGCAGGACCCCGTTGCCATGCAGTTGTTGATTTTGGGTCTCTGTTTATTAGGGGAATTGTTGTTTTCCCCTGTGCCATAACGCTCGTTGCTATCCTGGTTGCCACGGCTGGTGGCGACCTGTTGCACCGACTGCCTTTGATGATAAATTGCACGCCATTTGTGCAGCTTTGAGTGCGAATAAAGTTGCTTCGATTTGCACGCATCCAATTGATTGATTAAGTGCTAGATTTATGGTAGTGAAGGGGACTCAAATCCATTTGTTGTGACACTTGTTTTTTGGAAAGTGTCTCTAAAGATATTTGCAAATTAGACGTCCCTCTACGTTTGTACAGCGACATTTTTTTCGACTTGAAGCTGCAGAAATACACAGTGGATGATCAATTGAATTGTATAATGCAGTTGTTTCTTGTGCAATAAACACATCTTGGTTTTGTTTAGTGTTCAGTGTTTAGTGTTTAATACTTTGTTTTTTCGCAACGCCACTAACAGCTATTTACACGGCAATTGTATTTCATCACAACAATGTGACCATACTCACACACGGTGCTGTGCTCCCGCAACGCGCTCCCTCGGCTCGGCTCGTTTGCTAGTGCAACTGTAAATGCAACAGCAATCTTCGCTGTGATTGCATGTGTGTGTGTGAGGAATTGGATGTGTGAGAATCAATATGACGCAGAAAGAGAGGTGCCATCTCAGTGCGACAAGTGCTAGAAAGGGATAGATAGCACTAATTGGTTGTTGCTGTTTTCATGCATACTAACGGTTCTTGAAAGAGAACAGCTGTGGTTATAGAGTGACAGTAGCTTCACCTTATATGTGGTTTCTTAAATACTCTAAACTACGAACAAAAATATACACCTCCTAAATAATTCTTAATAAATAGCTCAACTTCCAATTAGATACTAAAATTGATTGCCCAAACGGCATGCAACATGCAAAAACAAAACTCCTACAGGTCCTAAAAAGCCTGTCAAACACCTGGCCACAAATAGCTCTGTTGGATTTTGGCAAATGTCTTGCAATCACGCCAGAAATTGTTGCATTCCAATGGCAACAGATGGTCAGGGGTAAGTTGGGGAGACATCTCACCCAACCCTAAGCAAAAACTACAAATTTGCTATAAAAATATCCTTTTTTAATGGCAAACCACAGCGCAGGCGCATGCAATGCAACACGTGGCCGTAAAAAACGAAAAGAAAAACTCTCAACTGTTGAGCCAAGCAACAGATAATTGCATGTCTTCCGGCTACAAAACTAAAGTAAAGTTTTTGCCACTTCTAATCGATTGAACAAGGTCCCCGACTCAGTCGCGTGCCATGGGCCTGGTGGTTCGTTGAACTTGCACCCCGCAAAACCAAACCACAAAACCAAAACCACACACAAATTATGCAAGAAATCAGCCAAGCCTGAAAGTGCCGCAGACTTATAAACTGTCAATGGGGCTGCCTGTTGCAGCGGCAACTACTAGTTGAGCCGCAATCATGTGGCAGTTGGCATTGGCATTGGGACTGCTGCAGCAGCTGAACGCACCGCCGGGAGCGCCTACGGCCATGGCCATTGTGGTGGAGCGGAACATGTTTGCCTACTACAAGGTGCCGGCAGCTCAACTGCTGGACGCGGACACTGAGGAGAGCCCAAGTAGCAGCAGCAGCAAGAAGAGCAAGCTCTACTTTGTGCTGCAGTGTCCACCCAAATTGGATGCTGGCATACCCAAACCCAAGGACATGCAAACGTGCAGCGTGGTGGACCAGTACAAAGGGATGTGGAGGAAGAAGCCACAGCCCAAGAAAAAGCTGCAAATGGTGCCATTTCGTATTGTGCTGCGACCGCTGCGACCGCCAGCAAAGCGGAGAACATATCGTCGAAGGAAACGTCAGCAGCAGAGAGATCTTGAGGATGAGGACGAGGAATCCTCACCCTTGCAGCATCTGGCTCAACCCCACATCCGACAGAAGTTGGTGAAACTCAAGGCTGATCATCGCAAGTTTAAGCGTGGCAGCAGCACGCAGGGATATCAGCACATGTTTCACCGAGATGAGTCCTACAACGATCACATATTCTACGACGAACTGCAAGCCGATGGGCAGTACCATAAATATGGAAAATCTGAATAAACCTTGATATATTTCTACTCCGATTTAATCGTCTCTATAGCCAATTCGTATATCAATATCCGGCAGAAACATATCATCGTAGGCGACCTTCTCGAAGACCGTGTTCAGCAGTACAGTGAAGCCGGCGGAGAAGGATCTCAGCAGAGCGGGCTCCAAGTCATTCCAGAACTCCAGCCAGTGCTTGTTGAAGGAGTTATTCAAGGCAATGGTCACATCCTCGTTCTCCTTGTACAAGTTATCGAACCAAACAATCCATCTGCAAATTTCAGGGATTAGAACCCAGTTCTGTACTCCTCCCTGTTGTCCACCACTTACCGAGCGATGTCAATGACCGGCACCATATCGTAGATCTTCAAGTAACGCTTGTTATTCCGATACTCCAGTATCACTTTGATGGTCAAAGTTAGGCGAAAATTCTGGAAATCCGACTGCAGTTTGCCCGTGGTGTTCATCACAAAGAGCATAAATCTGCCCTGCATGTCGTAGGTGGCATCGTGGACGAGTCGTGGCAGGCGAGCCTTGAGTATAATCTGCTGCTTGGTTGGATCCTGCAGGAAACCCTCCACATGTGTGACTGTGGCATTGTTGAAGCCTTTGTGCACATTATCGCGCATGTGAAAGGTCATCCAGATGGGGCCACGATGGGGCGAGTCCAGTACGGAAGTATCTGGAAAGCTGTACTTGTCGAGCGGCGGCAGACCAATCTCTGGAATGCCCTTCGGATATCGCTTGATCAGATCATTTAGTGTCCGCACGAAGCAGGGGGAGTCACCAAAGCGACACTTTTCTATATCTTCAGCTGGAAATGTTGATTTGATATTCCCATGAATAAAAGATTAAACCTTTTTGTATCAATGTCTTTTACGCACGTAGCTCCGCGGCAAGGGATGCACCAATGCAGATGCAGCACAGCCAAGTGATTGCCAGCAGCTTGTTCATACTTTTCAATTGAATATTTGTAGTTGACTTAACTTTAGTCACGAATAGTGGGCTTAATTATATTCAAACACTAGAACCTGCTCTGGCACTGGTCGAAGCTCAACTGCAAAATAACAATCGATTGTCTGTCTAGCATGAATTGTGATCAGCGGGCTGGCTGGTGCTACTACATTCATTGCTAATCTATGGACCCAAAACCGGTTTCAATATTTGTCCTTCTCTAGAATAAATGCAATTGCACATGTTGGTCTGTGTGTGAGTGTTAATTCGATTTTAATCGTTCACGCGAGTCTCTATGCCATCCGGTAGGAACATGTCATCATAGGATACTTTGTGCAGAATATCCTCAATTAAATCACGAAAAACACTCGCAAATATCCGCAAATTTGTGGGCTCCAACTCGTTCCAGAATTCCACCCAATGCTGATTGAAAACCTGATTAATGGCAATCGTCATGTCTGTGTTCTCCTCAAAGAAATTATCCAGCCAGAAGACCCAACTGCAAATCAATGTGAAGATTACCATTGTTTAGGAGTAAAATTAGATAGCTTACCGATCCATATTGACAATGGGATTCAGTTGGTATATCTTCAAATATCTCTTATTATTCCGATACTCCATGATCACCTTTAGCTTGAGTACGAATCGAAAATTCTGAAAATCCGACAGCTGTTCGCCCGTGGAGTTTAATTCCACAATCCATACACGACCCTGAGACATGTAGCGACCCTTGTGGATGAGACTCGGTATCCGGCCGTGTATTTCCATCAGACTGGTTGTGGGATTCTTGGTGAAGCCCTTGACCTTTGTGATCGTTGTGTTCTCAAAGCCATAGTTCACCTGATCGAAGAGATTGAACTGCAGCCAGAAGGCGCCCACTTTCGGATTGTCCCAGAACTTTGAGTTGCGAATATCCACCACATCGATGGGCTTCATGCCCAATGCGGGTATTCCCCTCGGATAGCGTCGTATTATCTTGTTCATTGAGTCCACAATGCACTCCGAGTCACCGAAGCGGCATTTTGGTATATCCTTTGCTGCAGGACAATCACAAAAAGTGAGTAATTGATCGAATTAAATAAAAAGTTCCCGTTACCTACGTAATATTTGACCCTGCAATGATCTGATGAACTGCAGGCACAGCACAAAGATGATTATATCACGCATTCTCTTATATAGAGCCAATTGATTCACTTCCAGCACATTCAGCAGTCGTTTACAATGTGAATTGTACGTTTAACTAGAACTTAGTTATGAGCTGCTTGGACTATGCTTAGAGAACCGGTCGAAAGCTCTACCTACTCGTACTACTTGCAATATTAGCATTTTCGTTTGTTTTTTGATTTGTTTTAATATAATACAAAATAATTATCTAACATAAAGAATGACATATTTTCACGTACTAGAAAGTCTATTTAATTGAGGAACAAATCATCATAGGAAACCTTTTCGAATATATCCTCTATCATGCGAGTGAAAACACTCCGAAATACCCTTAGAATCGAGGGCTCCAGCTCATTCCAAAACTCCACCCAATGAGCATTGAACACCTGATTCACGAGTATTGTTAGATCGGTGTTCTCTTGAAAGAATTCATCCAGCCAGATAATCCAACTGAAAGTATTTTCAATCACTGATTTATACAGATCGAAATATTGTCTTTTCTTACCGTTCCAAACTCACGCGTGGCACCAGTTCGTACATCTTCAAGTAGCGCTTATTGTTTCGATATTCCAGCAATACTTTAAGCTTGAGGGTGAATTTAAAATTCTGAAAATCCGATATGAATTCTCCAGTTGCATTCATTTGAATGAACAGCAACTTTCCAACAGCCGTGTACATGCCCTTGTGTATAAGGCTTGGAATCTCGCCGAGTATCTCAATATGCGATGTGGTTGGATTCTTATCAAAGCCCCTAACCTTTGTGATTGTTGTATTCTCAAAGCCATAGTTGACCTGATCGAACATCTTGAACATGAACCAGACGGGACCCCTCTGTGCATTATTCCATATTTGCGAGTCCATTATGTCCACCACATCGATGGGTTTCATGCCGATTGATGGTATGCCTTTGGGATATCTCTTGATGATGCTGTTCATGCTCTCGATGAGGCAATCGGTGTCCCCAAAGCGGCATCTTTGTATATCCTGGGTTAAATCTCAGAGAGAGAATTGGATACAAGCTTCAGATAGGAAAAGTTTTAGTTTTATCATACACAAAATACACACTCATTGCTTGGCATCGATAGACTATGATTAGTTGTAGGCTTAGAACTACTTTGCTGTAAATGGAACGCATTTTAACTCTCTACTCTAGACTGTAGACTGCTGGCCACAGCGGTTGATCAGCGAATAAAATTACAATATAATGGTAATAGATAGAAGTTATATAAGGCCGACAAACTTAATAGGATTGTGCATTCAGTCTAGAACCAGTTTACATACAGACAAAACGACCCCCCATCAACATATGTACAGAGTTGAGCTTTCCCGATAATCCGTGGGGTGGAAGCGAACAAAAAAATATATGAATCAGGCATGCAACTTGTTTCTTTGGTATTCGGTTGGACATTTTTCACTTGCCTTTAATGTCACAAACAGTTTAATACACGGGGAATTATATACCCGATTGTATAGCTTAATATCTAAACGGACTCTGCATCGGCTAGGAAGAGATCATCGTAGGGTATGTTGTAGGACAGATCTTCAATCATTCCCAGGAACACCGTTTCGAACAGACGCAATATACTCGGCTCCAACTCGTTCCAGAACTCAACCCAATTCCGATTAAATAGATTATTAATGGCTATGGTCATGTCAAAGTTATCCGGAAAGAAGTCGTCCATCCACTGGATCCAGCTATTATCAGAAATTATCAAATGAAACACGACTTAGCTCCCTTGGATAACTTTTACTCACCGATCCAGTCGTATGTTGGGCACCAGTTCATATATCTTCAAGTATCGCTTGTTGTTCCTGTATTCGGTGCGCACTTTCAGCGTCAGATCGAAGCGAAAGTTGAGGAAATCCGAATTGGAATCGCCTTGGGAATTGATGTCCACAAACCAGAGCATGCGACCCTTGGCCTGGTACTTGCCCTTGTATACCAATCTGGGTATCTTGCCACGGATCTCTATCTTGGATTTGGTGGGATCCCGATCGAAGCCTTTGATCTCGGTGATGGTGGTGTTCTCGAAGCCAAGATTTATTTGATTGTACAGCAGAAAGTAGTACCAGGCACCGCCCACCTGTGAATCGTTGACCAGCAACCAATCCTTCACAGACACCACATCGAAGGGCTTGAGGTTGATCTCGGGTATGCCCTTGGGATAATTACGTATCAGAGCATTGGCCGACTCTGCCAGGCACTTGCCATCTCCATAATGACATTTCTGCACCTTTTCAGCTGCACAGAGAAAAGGATTTTCAGTAGGATGTTCCACCGGAAAGTGACTGCGGCCTACTCACGAAATGTTTGGCATTGCAAGCCGACAAAGAACTCCACGATGATCCAGAGTATACAGGGCAGGCAATGCATCTTTTCAAGCTCTCTTAACCGTCCGCACCCGAAAACGTAACCAAATCACTTGCATAGCCGATGGGCAACTACTTGGATCGTGTAGAAACGTTTTGCCTTTACAGCGAGAAAAACATTTATGAGGAAATACAAAACCAGCTGCCATTATCATAACAAGTTCTCGATATAAATACTATATAGATGGATAGATAGATATATAATTTTCAGTAAGTTATCATTGCAAAAGCTTTGCCCACTTTGAGCTTTAACCCATGCCACGTAATAAAATACACACATTAATCTGGATTAAGCTGCAACCAGTAATACTCGCAGCATTCTTCAATCGAAGTCTATCATTACAGGTAGCTGTGTTGCAGGAAAAAATCTATAACTTCCAGGCACATACCATCCCAGATCCCCAAAGTTAAAGCAAAGTATATTCAAGTATGTACCTCTAATAAATATATTTTACAACTGATAGAAATCATCATAAGACACTTTATTCGCCACTCTTCTGAGTATTGTTCCGGCCACCTGATCCAGCGCCGAATTGATGCCTTTTCGCAGTGTTTTCCAAATTTCCAACCAATTATTGTTGGCCAATTCATTTACGGTGTCACTCAGTTGCTTGTTGTTGAACAAATTCTCAAAGTTGATGTGCATGCTGATAATATGAGACACCAATGAGCTGCCGGAACTGATTACAAATCTTTTCTTACCTTTGAACATCCACCAAACACTTCACTTTTGGAATTTCCATGTAACGTTTGCCATCCAAACGATGCTCCTCCACAACCCTCACCTTGCAGCGGAACTGGCAATCCTTAAGTTCCACCAACGCCTGTCCACGACCCTGTATGGGCATCGTTAGGAGTATGCCTTGGGTCTCGTATTCCCCCTCGAGTCGTAGTAGAGGTGTAAAGGCGCTCAGTTCGAAGACTCTCGGCATCGAATCTCCATCGAAACCCTTGGCATCCAGCACTGTCGTGTTCTCAAAGCCTCTCACAGTGAGGGTGTGAAACATAAGGTCCAACTTTGAGGATTCTTTCCGGCTAACGATGACGTTCTCAAAGCTAATTGCATCGACGGCATCGAGTCCTATGGCGGGTATTCCCTTGGAATAGGACTGCAAGATGTGGGTGATGGTTTTTGCAATGCAGATGGCATCGCCAGCTTGACACTTCTCTATATCTGGAGCTATAAATTATACAATTTGATTAGAGTCTCCTGTAGGTCTCTTAAAACGTACGCAGCTGTCCCCAAACTAGCGCTAGACATCCCATGAATATTGTAAACCTCATTACGATTCGTTCTTGTTGTCGGCTAATTAATGGATGAGCTGGCAACTAGCCAGCCAACCCCTTTTATAGCTACCCTAAGCTCTGCATCCATTCAAACACAAATTGGATGCGGCTATTCAAGTGATTGTTTCAATCCCATTAAAGGTTGGGGCTTTTCGCATTCATTAATTAAAATGTTAGCTAAACTATAAGTTAAACTATAAGCTATTAAGTGTCGGTTACGTGGAATACTTTGTTGATTGTGGCCAAGCCTAAACAGAAGCTTAGGTAACCGCCCAATTTTGTGATGTAATTTCTGTAATCTTCATGCATAAATTCCTGTTTAAATTCCTGTCCACAAACTGTTACCCAAAAATCGCAAAATATACACATTTAATAGAATACAATGTTTATTATTTATAGTGAATTTTGTACACAACAATTTTTGAAATATATTTGTTTGTAATGAATGAACTAGCTAGGAGACTAAGGTTTTGCAACATTGCATAAAGAGAAAGAGAGTTCTTAAGTAAAACAGTATAAAATAAATAAGGAATACGAAATACATTAATTGCTTTTGCTCTCCACAAAGGTTCCACAAATTTATGCAATTTCTATAGACAAATTTTCACACACACACGATTAAGTAGACAATACATGTGCTTCGATATACGCTCAGTAAATTTCACAGCCCTATTATTAATAGACTTTATGATTATTAGCATTATTAAAAAGTGTTTTTTGCGATCAATTTCTAACATGGATGATCTGTTATGGATGTGCTTTGCTGATCTTTTCTTTTCTTTTTTGCACTTTTGCTTTGCTTTTCTTTTGGTATGCATTAAAAAGTAAAATTTAGTTATTGTTTTACACTGATCCCCGGTTCTCTTGGAGAACCATTTTTTAGAAAATAATACCCGAAGCCACAATACAACCCAATCCATTCCGCCTGTCCGCCAGGGGAACTTTGCCACATTGTGTCCATTGTCGAGTGGTTTGTTGCCGCTGCTTCCATGCAGACGAATGCCAATTCAAATGCCAATGCTAGCTGATGACCACATGGTGACCGGGGCCGCCGTTTACGTTGCTGCTGGGGCACCCGGATTCGTTGTTGTTGCTGTTGGTGAAACAAACCTCCTCACTGCCATCGGAATCAGTGCAGCACAGTAATGGCTACGCATCATCCTCGCCATCCATAACATCCGCTTCGTTGTCGCCGCTCGTCGCAATTCTGCAAAGGATATTCAGACAGATAAGTGAATGATGATTGATGATTGATGTAAGTGCAGTTTGAAATGACTCTGTGAGATGAGTGTAGGTAGGTGATTTACATATCTCTCTCATTTATCATTGAAGGAACAAAAAATAAAAGAATTGTGGTAGAAAATGGTCTCAGCTGATCAAATGTGTGCGAAGTTTTGTAACTAACTTTTTATTTATTTACCAATGTTTTTCAACTATGGCTCACATATTTTGCAGCAAATCCAGATCCTTATGGATTGCTGCTATTTATTTATCTTTTATGCATGTTTTAATGCACAGAAGCATCAATTCTTGTACACCTTTCAATGGATTCTTATAGCCAGATCCTCCCGACTATTCGACTAAGCAAAATGCAACCTTTTTTTGTTAGTATCGATTAATATAACGATAGTTCTATCTGTCTATCAATCGATCGCCATAATAGATCATAAATATATAGTACATCAATTACACACATAATTTATTCTTCTACATAATTTGTATGTCTCTTAAAGGTTTTTTGTACTCTAAAGATTGCTCTTAAGATATTGTAGATAACAATAGATCAACATTTACTTTCCAAGCTCTACATTTATTTAGATATATTATTTATTTATCTACACAAATCTCTACAATAGATATACGTACACTTCGTCCGCCATAACTTTCATTAAAAACCCCACAAAAATATTCTAGTTAGAAAAAACATAGAAATTCAAACAACAACTCCCACAAGAAAGATATCACAGATAACACAGAGAGAAACAATTAAAAGTTAATAACAAAGGCAAAAGAAGAAACACTAAAACGAATATCGTATTTATTATTATCTGGCAATAGGAGTGGAAAATATATGTAATATTTATTTCTTTCTACAGTTAATAAATACAGACATAGATATAGATACATAGATACACTATTATCAAGTACAGCAGGCATACAGATAGGTTTATACAAAAGTGTTTAATATCAACCAAATGTGTTCAGTAGAGTAATACGTACAAAATTTGTCTAATAAATAGAGCTACATAAAGATTAAAAGAACATCTAATACTTATAGAGTAGGAGCATAAATTCTTTACAACATTTACATACAGTAGAAGAGTGCAAAACTAATTTCTTTAAAATGAGAAGGGGTAATTGGAGGATCTTAAGACTATCTTAGTTGGCTTCGTTGGGGTAGATTCTGATTCTGTATCGAGTTTCTTGAGATTCCATTATCGTTAAGTGTCAGCTCGCTATATTTATGGATGTGTACAATATGTACAAGGTCCGATCCAGAGTTGAAGATGTCGATGCGAGACCCCAAACAAAGAGAGAAAATCAGATTTTGGCCAGCAGCAGCAGCATTTTCGGGAAATCAAAAATGGATTTTTAATTGAATTTCCTACGGCACGCGTTCTCAAAGCGATCCAAAAATCAAGTGCTATTCATTTTTATAATTTTTCTTTTTCGTTTCTTTCTATTTTTATGTTGCATTGAAATTTTGCATATTTTGGCCCATTCTTTGGAAATTCAATAATAATTTTGAAAAACGTTTTCTCATTGTTTTGTATCAATGCCAAAAAATCCATTTCCACATAAATAGATTATACAAATTTTGTTGTTCGTGTGGGTGTTTGTTTGGTTTGTGTGTGTCAATTTGGAATATTTTTTTTGTACATTTCAATTAGCCACAAAATGAATGGGAAACATCAATCAATCCGGTATCAGTAGTAGACACAGAGTATAAGAGTGGGGTGTAGTATAAGACAGTACATGAAGAGAGAGAGAACAGAGAGACAGTGATAGAACACAAAACACATATACAGAGAAAACAGGGCTGCCGGGGCTGAGCGTAAATATAATAAATAAATTTTGAAAATCTAAAAAAATTATTTTATTTTTAGTTTTATTTGAATTAAATTTGTGTGGTTAATTTTTATAGTTGAGGGTGCCACGCCCACTGTGCTTTTGGATAGCCCTTGAACCAACCAACCAACCAACAAACCAGAAACCCTCCAATGAAAACTAATCCGTTGATGACTAGAGCTAAAACTAATCTAAAACTTAAATATTATAGGAATTGTTTTTGGCATGGAAGGTGTATAAACTCCAGTTTTTCTTCCTTCAGGTTCTTTGGTCATCCACTATAGACTCGCCATCCTTCTTCCCAAAAGCAGTGTTTCCAGGTTTAGAATGGGCTCCGCTTACTACTTAAAGCCGAGACCAATCAACAATAAATTTAAAGACATTTCCAGGTAATTCGCAGCCATAAATGCAAAACTTTATTCAACGTGCTAAGCGTCCAAAAAGCCTTAGAAAGTACATAATACCCCACAATGCTTGATAAAGCAATCAGTGAAAACTTACCAGTATTATTTCTTAATATTTCTTACTATCTATAGGAACCCACAGTGGATGGGGTGGTAAATGCTGAATGTACAAACGTAGATCCCCTAAAGACATGCCTTATACGAGTACTCGTAAATTCTAGAGTGTTGTAGAGCCCTATTAGGTACTTGTTAGTGTTGTTAAGCGTGTGATTTAGTGTTAATATCACAAGGGTAGGTAGGTAGTTAGTGTGTGCGTGTGTGTGTAGGCTGTGGGAGGGTTAGCCATAATGAGTCACCAAGGATGATTCAGTTAGGAACCTTCTCCGAAACGGTCTCAAGACCTTTCACCGTTTTGTTAGTAGCTGATTCGCCTACAACTAAAGTTACATCACTGTGAAGAGTCGAAAGAAGAGAGAGAGAGAGTTTCAATTGTTGAAAGTTCTTAACCAGATGAACGATTCATAGAAGAGTTTAGTTAGCAGTAAGGAAGAGTTAAATTTGAAATAGTTCAAGCCAATTCGAAGGAGTAGTTCAGTGCAGTTCAAATGGTTAACTGAAAGGTTAGTTTAGAGCCCCTATCTCTAGAGAGATAGATACAGAGAGAGTGTGAAGTGAAGTGGAGTGTGCATCGGTGCGTGTTGGGTGTGCGTCGAGATTTTGGTGAAAATAATTCTTGGACATACCTGGCATACGTTGAGTTGGCATTCTTTATCGAAAAGCTGTTCTGGCTAGGCAACACAAAACGCTGCACCCACTGTAAAACATACAAAGATAGATAGAGAGAATATCATTTAGTAACAGTAGATGGAAGTGGACTGCCCCAACAACACGGCATAAGCCCCACAACTAAGCCTCGAAAAACCATCAACTGGTGTTCAGAGTCACGTAATTTGATAATGTCAGACCGCCAGTTTGATGTGCGATATCTGGCGATGCGTGATTTGTGATTTCTTAATTGATAAGTGCCGCCCGCCCTGTTGTGTGGAGTACTCACCCGACTATTCATCAGACGCTGATTGCCCATGCAGGCGGCCATGTGTATCACAAGATATAAATTAAATAGTATATATAGAATGGCAAATATGCCTGCAAATCCACAAAAAAAGAGAGAGGAAGAAAGGCAAACATTAGTTCAGTAAGTTCAGAGTGAAGAAAGATTTACGAGTTCTACTCACAAACTAAAGCCAGCAGACCGCCTTCGATCTGCATGTTCTCCACTTGCACAATCACAAAGTACAAATTGACGCCAATAACCACAATCGTGAGACATATAGAAACGATTTTGTTACCCCTGCAAGTACAGAAAAGAATGAAATAAACCAAAGAGCAAGGTTAAAGCGTAGCAGCACTCACAATCCGTTGACAAACTCTCCCATAATGGCCGCACATGAGGTGAACGCTATGGTGGGTATTGCAGCGAAGGGCAACTGTAGCGACATCACCGCGTTCAGAATGTCATTCATGTTGGTTAGATCTTCCATTTGGCTGAACATGGCCAGGCAGAAGGTCGGTATGATGGCAATGCAGCGCGTGACCAGCACGCGACACCAGCGCGGCCACTGCAGATTGAGGAAACCCTCCATCGAGAACTGACCCGCATAGGTGCCAGTCATGGTGGAGCTCTGGCCAGCGGCCAGTATGCCCACACCCCAAATGTACATGGCCACTGCACCGAAAGTGCAGCCCAGAAAGAGTCCGCCCTTGTACAGATCCGCATCGATGATGGCTGTGCCATTCTGGTTGTCCACAAACGACACCAGGGCATCCGCGTACATTGATTTGTTAGTGCAGATATCGAGCTAGCAAAATAAATCGAATGATTAAGTGCCTAAGATAGGGAGGAAGTTTTTCCCACTTACCACATCCTTATTGGTCTTGCCATACATGCCATGGGCAAACACGGACACCACAAAGAGGTTAATGATGAACGACACAAATAGAGCCACAGAGGCCTCAATGAAGAAGTAGAAATTCGCTTCGCTCACTTTCTTGGGCTGGCGACGATCAATATCGCGGGACTGTAAAGGAAAAGCTCCATTAATTACGTTTCTTCAGATATTTAAATAAAAACTTACCTTGACCAGAGCCGAGTGCAAGTAGAGATTGTGTGGCATGATGACAGCTCCGACAACACCCACTGCCTGTAGCAAAACATTTGAGTTGCAGTCGGAGCACCAGGGCACAAACATACCCTCGAGTACCTCCACTTGATTGGGTGCCGAGACAATGTACTAAAAGGATTGGCAACAAAACGTAAGGATTAGTTACTGCTTTACCCATAGAAAATTCCCCCAACATGTCCAAAGTGTTTGCTCATTATTTGCTTCTTGATATGGAAGAAAAAAACTCCCCATGGATAAGCATACAAACTCGTACAATATTTTGGCTTGTACAACAAACAGATAAGGCCTGTAATTGTTTTGTCTCCCATGTGGTATTGTTTGTCATATCCGGGCAGCATCATGTGCTTCCACATCTGCCATATGGAATGAAATGTGCAAGTGCAAGCTTATCTAATCATCTGCGGGGGTTTCTGCTGGACAGACGACTCAAGTACAATTACTTATTATCTTTATCTGCGTAGTAAATATGTCTCTGGGTCTCTGAATGTGTGCATAGGTTCGTTTTAAGGGCTTCCGTTTGATGGGTGGCTGCTCCAATCAATAGCACGAAAAAAACGCCCCGCGAACTGAGGTAATTTGCAAATTCCGTGACAATGGCTTTAGGCAAAAGCGCTAAAACAGCACACAAACAATTTAGTTTTTTTCTTCTCCTTTTTACTGCCTCTGTGTTTATCGCAATTGTTTAAACATTTTATTATGTTCACGCCCGACAGGCAATTGAGTGTCTCCAGGAGAACTTTTGGGCTATTTTGAATAAATCTACTTAGAATTTAGGGGCTTTTTGTTTTGGGGGCTTACCTCATAGCCAAATGTGACAGCCATGATTGTGATGAGGAACCCAAATAGGAACTCCAGCTTACGCAAACCGTATTTATCCAGAAAGAGGAACGTAAACGTGTCGACAATGGTGATCAGCACGCCTCCCCACAAAGGCACACTGCCAAAAAGAAGGGGAATTACATATAAGAATCCTCATGCTGCATTAGCACAACTTACGCTTTATTCGATAGCAGATAGATGGCAATGGCCGTGCCAATGACCTCCTGCATATCGGATCCAATGATGGCGATCTCAATCATGATCCAGAGTATCCAACGCGGCAAACGCTTGTACTGGCGATAGCACATTTCAGCCAGATGCAAGCCCGTTACCACACCCAGCCTGCACACAAATTTAATGATTATAAATTAGACACTTTCCAAGAGGGAGAGCGAGAGAGCGAGAGAGCGCTCAGCCACTCACCTTGCAGCCAAGCGTTGCATGAGCAGACCCAAGACGGTGGCCCATAGCAAGACCCACAAGATTTTGTACTTGGCAGCGGCGCCCGACTGCAAATCGGATTCGATGTTGCCGGGATCTAGATATGCAATCGACATGAGAAAACCGGGTCCCGTGAAGGCCCACAGCTTGCGAAAGCTGAAACCCATCTGCAAGGGGAAGGTCAAGTCATGTTAGTTCTAGTTTGATTTTCTTTTATCAATAGTTAGGACTTAGGAGAGAGACTTTGAAGACTTACACTTGTGTGATCATCTTCGGGTATGAGGACCTTTTCATCGCTGAAATAGGCTTGCTTGGCGGCGGGTTTCAGATATGTGGTTTCATTGAGTATCTGCTGATGGTGCAATTGATTGCTATGGCTGCCTCCTGCTGTTCCTCCATTACTCCCACTCGAACCGCTGGGACCATCGCCACCGGCACCCGGCTCAACGTTCTTGTGATAGGCCTCATTCGAAGACATGCTGTGGAAGAGGTTGACAAGAATATATACATTTAACTAGTTTATTTATATATGGACACGAATCTATTGTTACGTTCTGTTTGGATTGTTTGCTTTGACTGTCAATCAATTGCTCTATGCTTAATTATACACACGACTACGACTATACTCGTATTCAATTTGTGTGATTGTTGCACCTGCCATTCACACAATTTCCATTTAATTAAGCATCTGTCTGTTTGTGTGTCTGTCTGCCTGATCTGTGCCTCAATTAGCATTATCATAATGCAAAAAACAAACAATAAAAGTTATAAAATATAATTATCTAAGTGCGTGATGTCTGCAGCCATAACAGCAGCCATATTCTATGTCTCATTTTTTGGGGGCAGTGCTAAAAATGAGCATCCAAAAAGTATAACAATTTCCCGGAATAAAAAATAAATATACATATGTATGTATGGGGGTTTTTTACTTGTAGTTTGACAGTCATTTGGTTGGTCTAATTGATAACGCCTGCTACAGTATTACTGTAATATAAGTATATAATAATATACATGTTTATATGGCATGTACGGATGAGGAAATAACACCAAAGCCTCACACACACAAACAGGGCTTGTGAATCATTTCTAAGAGAGTCTGTAAATTCATTTCGAGTCCGTAATTTTGTTTGATTTTGCAATTTAGCGAATATTGACCCGCATATAACTCTGTGCATTTGTTGATCTAATAAAAACTGATTACAAGTGCAGTACACAAGTACAATACATAACAGTATTATGGAGAGCTCTTCAAAAGATATTGTTCCCTGCAGGCAGGTTGGAAATACCATCAGCTGGTTCACCTTGACAGGCACTCTCGCCTGGCTGGCTGCCTCCACTGCCTCTATCTCTGCCTCTGCTCTGCAGTTGCTGCTGCTTTCCACATCGCCTCATTGGTGACGGACAGAGCAAGACAAAGGCACGGAGTGCATCGGTAGATGTCTAATTATGTAGAGGCCTTACTATACACAGAGTTTGATCACATTTAGATATCGCCATTAATGGCCAATTGGCTTCGAATCTATGGTCAAGATTTAGAGGTTAATTGTAACGAATACAACTGTTTCAGCTGCGTTGTCTGGTTCATTGGAATACGTGTTTTTGTCACAGCATTTATTTAATCGCTTCTGTTTAACCAGATGTGCGTGGCTCCTCCACATGCCATGGTACCACTCAATATTATGAGTATAGTACAAATATTTTGATATGATATGCACTTTTATTGTATATCAATTTTAGCTACGTGTTCGGCAAGCGGAAATTAATATTTTTTGATCTAAAAAGTTGCTAGTTGCTCGATTGTACATATCACAAGTCATAAATTCTGATTACTGCAAAAGAAATACTCTGGTATGCCCGAAATAAACAAAGAAATCCACTACATTAAAGGCCACATCAATTGAATTTTCCATATTTGTATACCCTTCCAGACGGGTGTAATGATTTTGCCAGTTATGCGTATGAAGCTCTTGCTGCTGCCCTGTGGTTTCTTAGGAAAAAACAACCATACTTTCTAGCTATAGTAATTTATAGTAAAAATAATATATGACTTTTGAATATATTAAAATCTACTGCCTGCCTCAGGCACAATCAATATGTAAGTGTATCTTTAACGCCGGTCCCCTACATCTCCCGCTCTCATTGTTTATGTATTTTTTGTGTGTTTGACTTTGTCCTCATCCAAATAAAAGTTTCTGTTATTTGTTGGCTGTCCAAAACAAAAATATTTCAAAAAAACTGCGTAGCAATTTGTTCAATCAGCGGAAAATGCTAAAAAATCAGCAATTAAATGTTTCGCAGACAACAAAACACCCGACAACAATGTAAGCGTAAATATGATAACACCTACAAATAAATTACTTTAGCTATTCAGCAATTTCCCACCAACATGTGTTAACTACTTTTTTTGTAAACTGTAATTATTCGGTTTACGTTTAGAATTCGTTGCAGGTTCTTAAATTAAAATGCGAGAGCTAGTTTTGAACACGATTGCACAGGCACTGGGAACATTTTTGCGCTATTGTTGAGGAATTACCATTTTAAAAGACGTTTTCTTATCACAGAAAAACAATTGTTTTAGAGCCTCAATAAGGTTGAGCGTTGATAAGGTAATGTCTCCCCAAAGAAAGATCAAAAGAGAGTTTGAAAAACCTCACCCTGCCCAAAATAAACCTTGGGCTCCACGTTTTGTTATTGGCACACACCTGCGTGCGCACTCACACACGCACACACAGACACACGGGGCACACTCACACTATTTGGTTCACGCGAACATAAAAAATCGAGAGAGATGATGGCCAAAAAGATAAGCATAATGTAAATTATTGAATATTTCAGGTTAACACCACTTCATAGCAGATAATTGGTTTTAATTTCAACACTATTTAGCTTACTTGCAACAGGATGGATGGGATGGCAGCGGCGAAAATTAACGTATTGGTCTGATAAATAATTAAAGCCGTTGTATTTGCTTTATTATATCACACACACAAAAAGAGCACAAACTGAAGACGATACAACACTTATATGCATTTTATGAACATTTCACTCATTCCGTAAGACCCGCTCGTGGAACAATTTACAAATTCGGTGACGTTGAACACCAACAGAAGCAGAAGCAAGCAGCACAGTCAGTGCCAGTGGGAGAAGTCTGTCTCAGCTTCCAATTGTTGACTTATTTAACGGCAATTGACGAGTATCTGGCGGCCACCACACCAACGACGTGACATGCAGTTTCGTTTTTTATGCCTGCCTCCCCTTATTCCGTTCCGCGGTCTCTTTTTGTTTAATAACATATATTCTTGCAACCAGCTGCTTCAGTGTGACCGCGGAATTATCGATAAAATATACCGCAATGTACCAACAAATTACGGAAATATACCATTATATACTGATATACCCTAAATCCTGGGTGATGAGTGAACGAACTGAGCCCCGCTCAATTTAAACAGATGAACCACTTGAGTGGAACCGCGGCAAATAATACTGCTTGGAAGTTCTTATTGTATCCTCTCACACACACACTCACACAACTACTGTTTTGGGGTACTTTTCATGCCATGTGGCAGCTCCAGTTTAGTACCTTATCGTTTCAAACACTCTGCCGTTTCAAAACGAACGTTGCGCGCCCTGACTCCGCTCCACACGATCACCGCTGAATGACGAATGCTGTCGCTTAACTGTAGCCGCTATTTATTCGAAATACTGTATTCTTCCTCTCCTCTCCCACTGGCTCGCTCGCGAGGCTTATGTTTTGCTGATTACAGCCCCGATGGACAGACAGAGAGAAAGAGAGAGGGCAAGGCCAGGGAACGTGCCGTGCCGTGCCCACCACAGCTGTCCGCAGCGATTTTTTTGATGTGGGATGTTTTGATAATACCTCAGGACCCTCAACAGATACATGCCCACGCCCCATTACGTACTGAAACTATTCTGTTATCATTAACCACAGGTTTATCGTTAATTTACGCTCATGTGATTACGAGATTTAGACCCTGTCCCTGCCCCTGCCCCAAACAATCACTTAACTTGACAGACAATCTCCGTGTAGTATTTCCAACGTTGCCAACAACACGCACACTTTATCGTAATACCCTCTAAAAGCAAAAAAAAAATCAATTTATAAATCAATTTTATCGGCAGCCTGATTTTTGATTTTGGTCTGACATTTCTTACGATTGCGATCCCGACGCCAATATTTGTGATAAGCTAAATGCTATGGAAATATGGCTTGCTCTTAACAAAAAAAAAAGTGACTAATCAGCACAATGCAAACTTCTGATTCCCTTTGTCCAGCCGCCAGTGCACCATAACTGATATGATTCATTACAGAACAACACGAACAGCAAACTGTGAGTGTCCCTTAAAGTACTTACAGCAAAAAGATAAGGAAAGGCACAGCCCTGCCCTAACCCACATTAGAAATGCAGTCTGTAAAATGCCTTTAAGTAATCCCGTGATATTCGCTATTGATAAACTTTATTAAGTATTTATTTATTTATCAAAAGAGCAGACTTTTCTGGTTGTTGACTGTCTTTAACATTAGATTTTACCTGACATGGGAAACATTCCGTAGACTTTATACAATTTAAAAGAGCAAAAATCGTTCCTTTGACACACGTCAAAAACTTCATAAGTATAGTAAAACATCAAATGAATAATGATAAAATGTTTTGCACATAAACATAAATAAAATTTGGCATAGCATTTTTCTTTGAAAAAATCTACTAATAAACGATACAAAAGAATGTAAAATGGGTTCGATGTTGTAAAATGATATATCAAATATATGTATACATGTATGGAATACCATGAATGGTTGTGCTAGCATAACAAATTACAATAATAATTTCAATCTCTAGCAGTTCGTTGCACACAAAATGGGACACATAATGGGGAGGGGAGTATCTGGGTTAGTAGCGAATTGTGAATCGATTTTATAGTCAAACATTAGTATTATTTGTTGTTCGGTTAGTAAAGTAAATTAAAGTAAATACAATTTGATTTTTGTTCTATCGTGAATTTCAAACGGAAGCATTTCTTTTTGTTTCTTGAACTTAGGAATTTTGTTCAACAACCTGCACATAGTTGGCCGGAAAGAGGCCATAACGATTCTTGCACAATCCCCGCCACCATCCATCATCGATCTTTTCGATATGCGTGATCAAATCATCAGGATCGAACGAAATCTCATCATCATCGGCTGCCTGGTAGTCGAAGAGCGCCAGTGCATGGATACTAGTGTCCTCCAGGTAATCGGCAAGATTGTCCGAGTTGGCATATATGGCCTCCTCGAGGGTTTGAGCAACAGCACCTGCTTGGGCAGGCTCAGGCGTGGCTCCATTCGTTGCTGGTGGCAGAGGAGAAGCTGCCGGTGGCTGTGGCGAGGCAGCCTTAATCTCTGCCTGATTTTGATACAGCGGCTCCTCCACAGGCTCTGGCTCAGGTTCCGGCTTCGGTTCGGGCTCACGTTGCACCTGAGGCGTTGGCTCATGCGCTGGGGATGTGGGTTCACTTCTGGGCGGTGTGTCCACGGTCTCCACCTCAATCTGAGGCACAACATCTGGCGGCCTCGCAATGACCTTGGCCGCGGGTGCCGCCTCTTTGACCACGACAGGCGCTGGTGCTGGGGCAGGCACGGCAGCGGCTACGGGTGCTGGCGTCTCTGGTTGGGGTTCGTCTGCCACTTCCACCTTGGCTGGCAGTGCTTTGGGAATGACAATGGGTTCCTTGCGTGCCGGCGGTGTCTCAGAGACGGGGGATTGCATTTGATTGAAAGCACTAATGGCATTGCCAATGCCTCCAGCTCGGCCTGTCTGAATGGCCGCCCGACTGCCCTTCGGTGGCGGCGTTTCAGTCGATGTTCGGGGCGTATTTTCCGCAACCGTCTGCTTGGCTGCCTCCTCCCGATCCCGCTTATCCTTGGCCTCGCGCAAACGTTTCTGCTCCTCGGATCGCTTGCGCGATTCCTCCTCGGAGTTCTTGGCCAAATTCTCGAACTTGGCGCGCAGATTCGAGGGCTTGGCACCCTCAATGACTGGCTTCACCTTGTGATCCGCCTGGCTGGCGTGCTTTTGTGGCGCCTCTTTGTGATCCCATCCCACCGCCGATTTGTCCTTGCGATCCTCCTGCACACCGAACTTACCGCCAAATCCCTTGGAATAATCTACAACAAAGAATCGTGGCTATAGCGATGATGAGTCATTAGAATGCCCAAAGCTTACCCTTCTGTGACTCGTGTTTCTCGACCTTTTCGATGTGGTCCCAGCCGACGGCCGATTTATCCACACGATCCGATTGTACACCGAATTTACCACCAAAGCCCGATGAGTAATCCTTTTGCGAGGCGTGCTTCTCCACCTTCTCGATGTGATCCCAACCGACCGCTGATTTGTCCACACGATTCGATTGCACACCAAATTTACCACCGAAACCATCGCTGTAGTCCTTCTGCGAGGCATGCTTGGCCACCTTCTCCTGGTAGTCGTGGCCCACCGCTGACTTGTCCATGCGATCCTTTTCCACACCGAACTTGCCACCGTAGCCGTAGCCAGCATTCTGATCCTTTAATAATTGCTTCTTCTTGTCCAAGTCCGAGCGTTCAGTCTCCTCGCGCAACTTGTCCATGCTGTTCATTGTGGTAAACAAAGCGAAGGAACACAGAAAGTGCATTAATGAAAACAATGAACTCGAAATTTCCAGCTAAACAGCGATAATGACTCACTCAATGGCGCCCGCTGTGCGGCCACTGCCATCGATCGTCTTCGATCCCCAGCGCTGCTCTTGCTCATTCACATCGTTAATAAAATCTGGATCGGTCTCCCAATCGTCATCTTCGGCGACTGGGGCACTGGTGGCCTGTATCTGATGACCAGCACTTGCTTTCCACATACTACTGCTTATCCTTATCTGCTGAAAAAGATAAACACACACATTAGTCGGCGGGGCAGGTTTTTCATTTACTTTCAGATAATAAATGGGAGGGGCTGAGTCGCTGCATAACTGCAAAGCGACCCATTTACGATGCACTTACGGACTTTTGACTAACTACAAATGCAGTGTGGGTGCTTTAAAAGCTGCAGAATGTTTTCGAATGTTTATCGGAAATGTTTAAACAAATAAATTTTAAACAATTGCCGAATAGGCTGAAAATCAGTGTGACCGCAGATTTATCGATCAAATATACCAAGGCGGACCTCAGAAATATACCGAAAAATAGATATTACCGAGTACCGGGAAAATGCAAGGTGTGGACAGGGAGGTCATTACAGCGAAAATAATATTTAAAAAATACCGATTTAAATACCAAAGGGAACGGGGAAAGCAGTTCAAAATTTTAGCCGTTATGATTTGACCCAATTAATTAATTATGAACACAAATTACTCATAATCTCAATAAATTTTCCCCCGTGGCGTCATTACGTTGTAAACATCATTGTTATATTAAGATTCACGTCATGGTCATTACCTCAGCAGCTTCCGTTGATCTGGTGATTCACGCAGATACTCGTATTTGTCTAGAGCGTAGGAGAGCACGATTTTCCAATCTAGCGAGATCTGCAAAGACAGCTTTACACATATTTCAAAAAGCTTTACAATGCTGTTAATTGAGATGAATATGTGGAATATGTGTGGAATATAATTGAATCTACTCTCATGTCAAAACCAGTGCAAAATCTAATATTTTCAATTCATTTGAGCGATGGCCCATCAGACGCCAACTCACCAATACCCCAATACTCCCTCTCTCATTCTCGCTCTCTCTTTTGGATCTCATGCACCGGCTTTTGCACTTCCAATGATTTCAATGGAAACGGCAGCGGCCCCACATTTACATAGAGAGAGCAAAAGAGAGCCCCACATATAAAAGTGACGACCGCGAGCGCCAACTGATTCAGTATTTTTTTCTCTCGCCTACAGTTCGCTTCGAAAACTTGTACGTTAAAAATATCACTGGTAAACTTTTGTGTGTGGAATTTCTCTCCTATAGATTGCCCATTTTGTTTGTACTCCGCTGTGTCCCGCCATTCGTATTGTCCAACCACAAACAAGACTCAAGTGCAAAAACAAACGAAAAGTGCAAAAGAAAGTGTATGATTTCGTATGCCAAGGGCATTGCTATATAATTACTATAATTCTGGGTGCGGTATCAAAGGAATTTATCTAGAGAACACACTTGTACGTGGCCACAACCTTGGGAGAGAGAGATGAAATCTCACAGTTATTTACTTGTCCATTGAATTTGCGCCGCCCCATTCAACTACAGTCCGATAAAAGGAGAGAAAAAAAACACACAGTTAATTTGCTAGCCAAAGATGACATCATCAAATGGTGGGGGTCGGTCTCTCTCACTCTCTAACGCTTTGTGCTGTGTTTTGCTCTCCTCTCCCAGCCGCAGACGCGTGTGACTTTCAGTTCATCATCTCGTTTCAATTTTACAGTTACGAAGAACACATTTCCAATTGAGTTCTTTGGAAATTAAAAGAGACCTGTGGTTTATCCGATCTCTCTCTTAATTCAATCAACTTCAATTGAACACCCAGGAAGCTTCCCCACTACAGTTTGACACATTTGTGCAAGTGCACTAGAGACTTCCAGTACATAGTCGTGGCATTAGTCATATCGCATCGGATGTTGTCAAGTCACATTCCATCGCATGCAATTTTAGGTCGAGCAATTATACAGGTGTGCCCAATCAAGGTTTACTACCTTAACGAATAAATTACTCAAAATATAGTCAGAAGATAAATTCAAAGTACAGTCCGCCCAAGAGTTGACTCTAAAGAAGTTGTTAAAAGTCGAAAAAGATTTTGTATATGAAATTATTCACACACTTTGAAACAAGTCACGAGCTAAACTATTTCCACAGCTCTCTTTATAGGCCTCTTTTCAGTAGTTTTTTCTCTCTGCTCGACTCAAAAGTTGACTCCCATCTGAAGCTGCTCATTGACGTCACAGATCTCACGAGGCTATGATTCATTTTGAATGATCATTTAGAGGCTAATTATAGAACAACGTCATGAATGACTGAGTGGATGGATGTGTAATACATCCCCCAAATGAAGAGCATTCAAGTGGTCGTCTGTTGGTTTTCCAGTTCTTCCAACGCTACCAAAATTTGTTTGCCAGAAAGAACAATAATTTATGTGTCTAAAACAGATGCATGTACAATCCAGAACAACCGGTTCCAGCAACAATATCTTATGGCTGGTGCCCAAGAAAATTGTTGTTTGTTTATAGCTCTATAGCTTTCGGCCCACAGTGGCGTTGTTGTTGATGGTTTTGGCCTGCTTTGGGGTACGGCTTTGGGTATGCCGCCACGTCTTTGCTTTTTTTTCTTCAATGTTTTATTTCTGTTGAATCTTTTGTTGACTTTCTACTTTGGCACAACATAGGAATAAGTATTTCTGGAGCTATGTACATGTGCCGAGCCTTAGTTCAAAAATACCATTTATTATAAAGTTATTTGGCACTATTGATTTTCCGGCTTATATCAGCTCAAAGTGCCCAGATAGTGTCCCAGTTGACAACCCAACTGGTTATGCTAGCGGTGTGTGTTGGGCATGGTTTGTTGGTTGGTAGGCAGCATTTTCCTGAAGCTTTCTCTCCCAGGTGTCATGTCCGCAATGTGTTCCACAGCAGAACGGTATGAATGAGCTCATCCGTTTATAAGGCCATTTCGTGTGGGTTTCTCACTGTGCTCTTGCAGCCATCACGAAACAACAGACTTGTACAAACGCATTTAGTTATCAGACAAGCCCCAAGTCCCCATTTCCCTAACAACCGAACCAGTGAAAACTTTCACTTTCCTTTCCCTGTTCGTTGAACTCGCTGCGAGCTAGAAAAAAACATCAGACACTTTTGGGTTAGGTAAAATCAATGGGGAAAAATGTTTGAGCCAAGCGTACGCCAAGCGGCGTATGCGTACTGTTCCCCTCTCTACGATGATGTCATAGGGCAGGGCCCGGGTCTGGAACTGGGACAGGTTCATTAGCTCTCACGATTTTGTGTTCTTGTACACATTAAACATTTAATAATTATGCTTTATTACATTCCATTTACAGATTTTCAACAAACAATCAAATCAAAATGAGTTCCGCAGAGTACTACCCATTCAAGGTGAGTTGAGCGTGGATCTTAAATCTTAGTTATTGTTAGATAAATCATTAGAGAATTCGTAGAAGTTTTAAATCCAAAGTCCAAGTTTTTCCTTTAATCTACAAACTTTTAAATCCCGACCTGAATCAGGTGATAACCAATTATCTGTAATTTACTGAGCCAATACACGCTAATTAAACTGTATAGAGTACTCGAGTATTCGAGATAATTTACTGAAAAACAAGCACTGACAGATACAGATAGGACAGCCAGAGTTCGTTCCCTATCTATGTATTTCTTTTTGATAAGAGCTTGTCAGCAGTGCCAAAAAAAAAGACAAAAAGACCGCAGAGTATGTACAATACAATGCAACATTAGCATAACAAAAGGAATAAGGCAAATAATGGCATATAGTATATATTCTTAGAAAATTGTTCTGCTTAATGCTGAGTCAGAGAGCAAAACCTTTACGGGTACTACGTGCCTCACATAGAGAATAAACGCAATTGTTCCCTTCCCTCTGTGCTGTTGTATTACTCAGACTTGTTACTCACTCTTTACCTTTTGGTTTATGTTTCTGTAGTGCACACCCACTGTCTACCCGGCGGATCCCTTCGATCCCGTTGAGGATGCTGCCATTCTGCGCAAGGCCATGAAGGGTTTTGGCACTGATGAGAAGGCCATTATTGAGATCCTCGCCCGTCGCGGCATTGTGCAGCGTCTGGAGATTGCAGAGGCCTTTAAGACCGCGTACGGCAAGGATCTGATTTCGGACCTCAAGTCGGAGCTGGGCGGCAAGTTCGAGGATGTGATTGTGGCGCTGATGACACCGCTGCCACAGTTCTATGCCAAGGAGCTGAACGACGCCATCTCTGGCTTGGGCACCGATGAGGAGGCCATCATTGAGATCCTCTGCACCCTGTCCAACTATGGCATCAAGACCATTGCCCAGTTCTACGAGCAGAGCTTTGGCAAGCCCCTGGAGTCGGACCTGAAGGGCGACACCAGCGGACACTTCAAGCGCCTCTGTGTGTCCCTCGTCCAGGGCAATCGTGACGAGAACCAGGGCGTCGATGAGGCTGCGGCCATCGCCGATGCTCAGGCTCTGCACGACGCCGGCGAGGGACAGTGGGGCACTGATGAGTCCACCTTCAACTCGATCCTCATCACCCGCTCGTACCAGCAGCTGCGTCAGATCTTCCTCGAATACGAGAATTTGTCCGGCAACGATATCGAGAAGGCCATCAAGCGGGAGTTCAGTGGCTCAGTGGAGAAGGGTTTCCTTGCCATTGGTGCGTATTTTGTTAGACTCTTGACTGTTTGAATTCTTTATTAATGTTGCCATTCTGTCCATAGTCAAGTGCTGCAAGTCCAAGATCGATTACTTCTCGGAGCGCCTGCACGATTCCATGGCTGGCATGGGCACCAAGGACAAGACGCTGATTCGCATCGTTGTCAGCCGCTCGGAGATCGATCTGGGTGACATTAAAGAGGCATTCCAGAACAAGTACGGCAAGAGCCTGGAGTCGTGGATCAAGGTAAATACCGAAGTTTATTATGCCTTTAAACTAACTCATTTAATTGTGTCGAGCACGATATTTAACACCCCATTTAATGCGTTACTATCAAAGAGATATTATAAACAATCCGTCCATCACTTAGCTGCCTTTTGCGTGCTGTTTTACTCTTTTTTTTTTATCAATTCAAAACCCCTCATAAAACCATTTTGCGAAATATGTACAAAATTATTCTGTTGAATCTCTTTTTATCCAAATGCTTTCCCGCAATGCCATAACTTTCCACTAAACATGTTTCTAATTCATTTGTGTGCATAAAAAAAACATTAAAACCTGGCAAATTCTATATTTTTAGGGCGACACATCTGGCGATTATAAGCGTGCCCTATTGGCCATTGTTGGATTCTAGAAAAAAAAGAAACCCCCAACCAAAAATCAGAAATCAAGCTCCAACAAATACCTTTTTCACTGTCGTCTGTTCCATGCCTTAAGCTTATCTATCTACTAAATACACTTAATAGAATGTACAAAATGAAAGAGAGAGATTTCAGATATATCGAATAGTTGACTCTTTTGTGTAGATTTTATACTGGAACTTGATTTTTTTCAAAGATGAAGACGACTAATGTGCATTGCATTTAAGGCCCGACAGAATCAGTTTTAGAATCGAACTCAGATCTACCGTCTCTCGCATCATGTTAATTATTATACATAAACTATGCACGAAACATGCACATAATTTTATCTTTATACATATATATACATATATATAACATTTGACTATGTTTTATGCTATGGTTTTGTTTTTTGTTTCTCGAGTCTCATTTGCTATTTAATTCGTTAAATAAAAAACGCAACAAAATAAAACGAACAAAAAAAAAAACGTTGAAAAAAAATATATAAAATTCAACTTGAGTTTCTGTTAGCTGCAGCACTGCTTGTCCTGTCACTTACAGCTCTCTGTTAGTCGCTTAACACGTATCATTAACTTGGGCAGTGGTTTTTCAAGGCATATAGAATGTGATTTTGTGTGTGTGGAAGAAGAATTGGCTATTAAGCATTTATATATATTTCTGATTAGTAAAACATACTTAAAATTCGAATTAAAAGTGAGCTCAATTCGTGCACACTGCTTGCGTTGCTGGAAGCTTATGTTAATTGACACTGCTTACTGGCATGTCAGTTACATGTCATGTAGACATCAGATACATGTTGCTGAACCACTTGCTTAGTGCTTAAGCAGCGCAGTTATTTATCCCTCTCAGATCATGAATATATATGCTAATTCCACCACAAATTATTTTACACAATTTTAACCCCATAACCTTATCCGACAAAGACTTACTTGTGGCTTAAAGGCCAAGTCTTAAGTAATGTATACAAAATAAAATGCTCTGATATTTGCTCTTTTCACGCTTCTATCTTTCCTGCAACACAATCACAGGAGGATGCTGAGACCGATATTGGATATGTGCTAGTCACACTAGCGGCTTGGTAGAGCGGATCCAGCCAGCATACAGATATATACATGCAGATTTAAACCCTCCCCCACCCAACTGCTAAAATAGAAAATGCCAAAAAAAAACAGAACAAAAAAATGTTGCATTTTGAAGAAAAAAAAAAGAATGAAATTAATTATGTAGTTCTCTAATTCCAATTGTAATTCTACAAGAAAAACGACCTTAGTATTTCCTCTGTGCAATCTAACGTCTAACGTATCGTCTCTTACTCGATTATACTGATTTTTTACGTGTGTTTTATTTTGTATACATGTGTTTCTTTTTTGTGAAATAATTCAGCATTGTACTTGGTATATATTATATATATATATAGTTTTGTGCTTGTGCTATTAACAACAATAAAGTTTGCTTAGTTCGATGGCAAAACTAACTACGTAAAATTCAACAATGTTCTCCTACTCTCGATTTCATTTACAGGATGATATTTCCGGCGACTATAGCTACGTATTGCAGTGTCTGGCTTCCTACTAGGAATCAGATAATAATTATTATTGTTATCATTTCACACATACACATCGATTGTTGTAACTTTATCTTCTATTTGTTGTGACTCTTAGCTTAACATTGGATACGTTTTTTCTCTGTTTTGAAAATTCTTATCTAGAGTTCAAATCAATTCATATAAATGCATTTTAAAATCATGAAACGAATTTGTCTTTTTGTTGTGCTTAAACTTAGTTTTAACCAAAACCGAATGTAGGTGGGAAAAAAATTTCTAATCAAATTCAAATACGGAATGCTGGGATGGGGTTAGCCTCTCTGTGCCTTCTACTTGGCCACGCGATCCTTGTATGCCGCCCACAGGCGATCGCGGTAAGTCTGAGCCGCCTGCTCCACATTGGTTGCCTGTAGAATGCCGCGTCCCACCACACCAATGTCGGCGCCACGCTCCTGAACCACATGTTCGGGCGTCTGGTACTGCTGTCCCAGCTTGTCCACACTCTCGTCAATCTTCACGCCGGGCGTCAGCTGTAGCAGTCCGGGAAAGGCGAACGTCTTGGAAGATTGGCAAACCACGCCGGCCACAAAGTCCACGTCAGCACCTTCGGTGGCTATCTTGTTGCTGTTCTCTTTGTACTTGTCATCGATGAGATTGCCACTGGCCGACATCTCGGCTAGGAGAAAGACTCCACGTTCCTTGCTGGCGTCAGGGCCCAGAGCCGCCTTCAAGCCTTGCAGAATGCTGCGACCAGGCAACGTGTGAGCTGTGACCAAATCCGCCCAGCTGGAGATCTTGTAGATGCCCTTGGCGTACTGCAGAGAAACGGTGTTGCCAATGTCCGCAAACTTGCGATCCTCCATCAGCAGGAAGTTGTGGCGCTTGGCCAGCGACTGCAGGTTGGTGATGAAGCCCTCGCTAAAGTCCTCGACAATGTCCACGTGCGTCTTCAGCAGGCAGATGTAGGGGCCGCACTTGTCGGCCACATTCAGGATGTCATCGGCCTTGTTCAGATCGGCGGCCAGGCAGAGGTTCGTTTGCTTGCTGGCCATCAGGTTGAAGAGCCGCTTGGCCAAAGCACTCTTGGCCAAATTGGCGCGACTCTCGTAGGTCAGTTTGGTGCGCTGCAAGTCATTGGCTGCGGAAGAAACAGAAAACCGTTTGAGTATTTTTAGTATCAGCAGAGAGATTGCCTTTGCCTCTGCCTTTAAATAGATTCAATTGGAGAGGGTATTTGGCACTCGTTTAGCTGATAAGCTCGTGACATAATTCATTGAACGCTTTCTGCCATCACGTGCCCGGCTTTGATTAGCCTCAAACTTGATCTTCCAGCGCTCTACTGGAGGCAGTCTGGAAACCAGTTGGGGAATCGCTTTTACGGCGGGCTGTATAACAAAAATATTCATATCAAAGGGAAAATAAAAGCTAATTTAGCCGGTGGTTTATGGCTCGTCCCTAATTGAATCAGACAGACCCAACGGGGACTCGTGGCATGGGACAATCAAAGTTCATTGGGGCCCGACTAGACCGAACATGCGCGAGTTTCATGGATTTCATTATCTGTACCAAATCTGCGGCGGGGCTTTGGGGGAAGCTAAAATACAAAGCATACACACCTCCGACAACATCGGGCTTATCACCACCCACGAATGTGCCATCGCTGTTAATCTGGACGGCGGCAATGTACTTGGCCACCGCGTCAACCGTCGACTTTTCGATGCGTCCCGCCACATGAAGTGTGTTCAGCAGGAAGGACAGCGTAAAGAGGGAATGCATCTTGACGCCGTGCTTGGCAATGTTGGCCACTCCACCTTGCTCCCGATCCACCACCACAACGGCGTCGGTTACCACAATGCCCTCACTCTGCAGATCACGCACTGTTTCCAGGATGCTGGAGCCCGATGTGACCACATCCTCGACAATCAAACAGGTGTCCCCTGCATTGAAGATGCCCTCGACGAGCTTCTTGGTGCCGTACGCTTTGGCCTCCTTCCGGCGCACCAGCATGGGCGTGCCCTGCTGCAGGGAGACGATCGTGGCCAGGGGCAGAGCCGTATAGGGCACACCGCACACATGTTTTGCGGTCAATTTCACCTCCTTGATGTGCTCCACCAGCAAATCCGAGACGGTTTGCTAGGGGCATTAGGTAGAGACATTAAAGACGATATCACGTCAACTGCCACACACGCACAAACACTCACCATCACATCCGGATAGCTGACAATTACACGTAGATCAAAGTAAACCGGCGAATTGATTCCCACCTTCATCTTGAAGTCACCGAATTTGAACGCATTGATCTCAAACAGCTTGAGCGCGAGCGCCTTCATTTTATCGGACCCCTGTGCAACCATTTTCAGCGGCTGTCTGTATTATCTTAGTTACTTGGTTTAGTTTATTTGGTTTACTTTTTGGGGTACACGTGCTAGCCAGTGTGACCTCGGAAATAGTCAGACCAAAAATATACCTACTCATTTTAAAAATATACCGCGAATATACCGTAGTCTTAAGTCATATTCCTCGATTTCGATGTTCTATTTGATATTACTAGCTTCCAAAGACTTTTATCCGTTTAAAGGATCAATTTGACGTATTTTAAATACTAATTTTTATTGGTTTGTTTACCTTATTACCTTATATTTTACAAATTTGTATTTGAACTTTTCATTAAAATCGCCCTTCTGGAAGCAAGGGAGCTGTCTACAGTATGTAAATGTATGTAAATTATTAAAAGGCACAAGTATATTAACTGATAACATTGAATATTTTGAAAAATGGCGCGCACAACAAAAGTGATAAAGAAATTCTATTGTTTAGCTTAAAACTGCTAAATTGGCTTGTAAATATCGGTCTTATCGATTTTTTCGGCACGCTATCGTTTGGAGTAAGACCATCATTTGAGCTTAGAGGAATGCTCTGGTATTTTATTTGAACTTTTTTGGCGCCTATTTGAATAAAAATTAAGTTATAATCAGATGGTACGTTTAAAGTGTGTTTGCTTCAAAAGGCTTCCTGCTATAACTATTCAATGCAAGCTAAATAATATTTTGTTCTCACAATGGGCAGTGTCAATATCTCTGAATGTTTGCTCCTCCCACAACACCCCCTTCCAGAGTCTTGTGGGTGGAGTCCGAATGTCAAGCAACCACCAATCGAATCAAACAAAACTTGGCAAATCCTCGCAACGCTAAAGCGCCTGCGTAAGTCAACAAAGCTTCAGCATCAACTTGGCTTTGAAACAATTCCAAATCCTGGTTCCAAGTGTTTCCAAAATTTAGTTTCTTTTTCGCTAGCCCCCAACAAAGCCACAAAATATCTCTCTAGCTCGACGCCGCTGCAACTTCTTTGGTCAATTGTCTGTTTTAATTGAATCTTTTCCACGGCTACGCTACGCCATGGCCAGTGTCAGTGATGATTCCATACAAAGTGAGGTGCCCAGCAAGCGTTCTCGTTTGGCTGGCTCCAGCGCCAAAAGCCTCAAATTAGTTGAGTCCCAGCAGGGTCCGAAGGTCGCGAATCGAGTGCCCAAATGTGCACGCTGTCGTAATCATGGCATTATCTCGGAGCTGAGGGGACACAAGAAGCTCTGCACCTACAAGAACTGCAAATGTGCCAAGTGTGTACTGATCTTTGAGCGTCAGCGCATTATGGCGGCACAGGTAAGCCAATCCGGAAGGGGATAAAGCTGGATTGGAGCATGACTATCATCAGTTCAAGAAATTTGCATACCTTCAATATTGCAGATCAAAGTTATTCCAAATTTCCAATTCCAACTTCAACGTTTTAAATAATTCTGTTAGGAGCAGAACCACGCCCACTAACTGCTTAACAAATAACACTATTAACGTTCTATAAGCGCTCTCTCGAAGCTCTGTATACGTTATCGACATCTCCATGCTAGCTTACCCATGCCATAGGATCGGCAATGCAGTCCACATATGAGAAGCGCAAGCAAAACTGCTTGCAATTTGATTTGAATCAAAGAACCTGCTATGTTGGGATTTAATTCATGTTATTATTCAACCGGAATAATTCTTCGGCCATTTGGGCGATAAAAACTAACAGATTCTATTAACTAAAATTCCTCAAACTAAAATATTTATTTAACAAATTACAATTAAATTCAATCAGTCATTGCCACTGAATTCAGTTGTTGGCTGGAAAATAATTACTTCTACACTCTTCATATTGTCTTTATATTAAATGCTAGCCATTGCTCTAATTTGAAACACAAATACCCGATAGGCAGAAACCACCCAACCCAGCCCAACACAAACAACCAATGAAATGGAATACGTTGAACAGATTTAGTCAGAAAATAAAACCAGTTCTGGTTCTATTCTGACGATTGGTGCTGCCGCTGATGATGATGGAAAGTTGTCAAGGCGTAAGGAACAAATCGAGCAAAATATCCGCTTACCAAAACTGTTTGCACAAGTGTGGCCTGGTCTCGCATTTCATTAGGGTAGCGGGAAGGGGGAGCATTTGGATGTGCGATACCCCAAGGAATTGCTGTGGCTTTTGTTTGTAGTAAAGTCAAATAGAAGCAGTCAGAGAGAGGAAGATGTTCACTTGTCGCATATTAATTTCAATTGTTTGATGGCATTCAGGTCGCCCTGAAGCGCCAGCAGGCGGTGGAGGATGCGATTGCCATGCGTTTGGTGGCAAACAAAACGGGACGCTCCATCGATGCACTGCCGCCGGGCAATATCTTTGGTTTGACCGTCACGCAGCCAAGTTCCCCCCGACAACTTAAGGAAGCTGAACAGCTGGAGAAGCAGTCCATGACAGAGGAGAGACAGCAGCAGCAGCAGGAGGAGCTTTCTGAGCCTCCGGCAGTTGCCCAAGATTTGAGCGCCACCCGACGGGAGAATGTCTCACAGACGGCCATCGATATGCTGGCGCAGCTTTTTCCCCAACGGAAACGATCTGTTCTGGAGTTGGTGCTGAAACGCTGCGATCTCGATTTGATACGCGCCATAGAGAATGTCTCACCAGGGGCAGCGGCGGCGCCCATGGATATCGCCAAATCACAGGAGACTCCCATGCCAAGCCTACAACTGGCGATGCCACAAAGAAGCAGCGCCTTCAGGCCAGTCATAGCGGAACAGGTGAGTGTTTTAAAGCAGGAAGTGAAGAGTAGTCTAAAGCTGCTGCCTCCCTGCAGTACACAAACAAACCGCTGATGGAACTGAAGCCTCCCAGTGCCGCTTTTGGGAGCAACCCGTCGGCAGCAGCTGCGGCTGCCATTTGTGCCTACCCCAAGTGGTTTGTGCCGCTCTCCTTTCCGGTGACCATGGGCCATCTCTCGAATCTGGCACCGCGCTGCACACTGCCAAATTGCGCCTGCCTCGACAGCTATCAGTTTCACTAGGATTGGAATTCCATTATTATAATTGAAATAAATGTATTTAATCTAAACTATGACTAAAAACTATCTTATGAGTAAGGTACCCCCCTTGACAATCCACTAGCTTTACTTTCCCACTGGCTCGGCTAATGGTTCCGCCGGCTCCTCCTCATCGTCGTCCTCATCATCCTCCGACAGATACATGCGATCCTCCTCATCGCTCTGCTGTCCGCTGCCACGGCTGCTTAGAGTCAGTGCTGTGCCGTAGGTGGAGCCACTGCTGCTGTTGGAACTGGGCGCAGTTGAGCTGGGTCCAGCCACCGTCGATCCACTGCGCTTCGTGAGATTTGCACGCCGCCACTTGGCTCGACGATTCTGGAACCACGTCTTCACCTGGCGGTCCGTTAGCTTCAGCTGCAGCGCCAGATGGCGGCGCTCCTCGGGCGACAAATACTTGGAGCTGGCAAAGCGGCCCTCGAGATTTTTCGTTTGTTGCGACGTGAAGCGGATCTGGCCGCCCTTGCGCTTCACGCCGAAATTGGACATGTAAAAGCTGGCCGCCGGATAGGCATTGCAGTAGAGAGCGGCTGCAGTGGAGGCCGGATTGGGAAAGCCTGTGAAGAGAGAGAGAAAGAAAGGAGAAAAGGAACAGTTTAGTTGGAGTTATTAAAAAAATATGCAAAGTAAGAGAGTGATTTTGTATGCGAGAGAGAGAGAGGAGACAGAGGAGTAGAATGAAGATTTTGGGTGTTTGTTTTTCAATGGCTACAGAGGGATTATTTCTGAGAATAGCTGAGGTAAAGTTCCAGATAAGTACAAAGTAAGTATCTGTCCTGTTTCTGGCTTCCACTTTCCATAAAAAATAGAGAGAGAGAGAGAGAGAGAGAGAGAGTGGAGAAAAGTAACGGTTTGGTTGGCGTCATGATGAAATTATAAAAGGTGAGAGAGCGCTTTGGCGACGAAAGCAGGCAGAGAAATATATATGGAGGAGGTACATAAGAGAAGAATAACTGAAAATAACTGAGGAATAATAACTGGAATAGCTGGAACTGGAATAGCTGTGCTTAAGTTCCATATAAGTACAAGGTAAAGTACCTGTCCTGTTTCTGGATACTACTTTATACACAAACTCTTTACAACTCCACAAAGATCTTTCTAATATTTAAATCCTTATTAATATCAACATTTATCTGTTAATAAAGTCATTTCATAATTTTATCTAATATTTTATGGATATTATTCTCATAATAATTCACACAGAAAGTTATTTTCTACACACATTCCCTTTCCATGCCGAAATTCCTCATTACCCTTTGCTGGAACTCCAACTATTTCTGCAACTAAATGTGACACTTGGAAACAACAATTTCTAGACAGTTCTTTTAATTTCACATGCAAACACTATCTTTTAGATATAAATTGGAATACTCATTCAGTTTCGATTGGTTACTGCAATTGCTCCGATTCATTCCCATTATCTAGCTGCGTCCCACTCTGTCGTACAGCTCTCTTTTATCAGACAGTAATCAGACAACAACTATTCCAAGTTATACATGTGTATTGGATTGGGAGTGTGTATATCAGTATTGCGGGGGCATACTCGTATGTCACCGCCCACTTGTAAGTGGGCTGAAAAAACTTGGACGCCATTGCGAAATTAATGAAATCAGAAGTTGAGTGGGTATTCGGGCTGCCAGGGGCAATTGAGCGGAATCTATTGCTGGTAATTGAGGTTCGGCTACCGGCTCCCGACACCCGACAAGCAATCCGATTGTACGAGTACTTCGTGTATGGCGGTGCTCCCCACTCGAATGCGACTGATAACGCGCCGTGCTCTCTCTCGTTCCCCCCTCTCTCTCTATCTGCTGTTGACGTAACGGAAATTCGCACTTGTCAAAAGATTTAAATTGCGCTCATTCAATAATTCTGATCTAATCTGATATTTTGGGACTCAATTACCTCATCACATAGCCCTAGACACGTATCAAAGATAGGACCTACCATCTAGTGTATGCCTGCTCCTATATATTGTGCCAATATATTTGTAGAAATTGTAGAAAGTGTCATAAAAACAAATAGCGCTCATAATTTAAATCATTACAAGTACGCTTATTAACGTTTATTTTTTTATTAAGTGGCGTATACCCGCGATAAGCTCCGTGCCGTCTGCCATCTGCCCCTTCTAAAAAAAGATCTACACATATCCCCGTAGTCGGTTTGCTTTTTAAATAGTTGAAAATTGAATTTGTTATTATTTTATAATGTGTATGGTCAAAAAAACCAAATCATATCAAGCACTTGTCGTGCCATATGCCCATAACCCTTCCTGCAATCCGTCCATCGACAACAGACGACGGAGCTTATCGAAATCAAATGGCAATTGTCGCCACAAGATGATGGACAGCGCCTATTAATCGCCTCTAATAGCATTTTTCGTTTAGATAAGCCAACACAAATCGGAAATCAAAATGGGCATTTGAGTGGAGAGGCCGCAATGCAGAGGCAAAATTGGTCAAACCTCACTAAGCAATGCTCTATCGTGTCGGAAGGTATCAAGTTTCAAAGGGTAATACAATTTAGTACAGATATTTGATTTATATAAAAGATGAGAGCTTTAAAAAGAAGAAGAGATCCACTAGGAAAGATATGGCAACATAAAATTGGCAACTCCATAAATCAGGAATAATATAAAAGTAGTCCAAAGATATTGCATCATTAAGTGCTATTAGATAGCAAGACATTTTCCAAGTGATTCAGTTTAATATAACAAAGAAATTAAATGATTCAGAGACTGTTACTTATTAATTCTGTATTTTATATGTGTCCTCAACCCTAGTCATTTCACACAAAAACTACAAACAATCAGGGGGACTTTTTGTACACCAAACTTGTTTCATTTCTTCCCATAACTGCCAGCACATTTCACTACATAAATCCTTAATCTTAGTTAAGACCTCACCTTTTATTTATTTAAATTCTAGAGAGGCTTGCCAATGAATGACTGAATTCAAACACATCCATTTAACCAACATCACAATACTCCTAATCCCACAAAGACAGTCCCCAAAACTGTCACTTGGATTCCCAACAATGACATATACCCCAAATAGAAATGCATTGCTCTTACGGTTCTGATCGGCTCTCACCTCAATTTCAAATATTTGTCATTTTGATAAGGCAGCCGAAAAAATATTTCGAATGTTTGTGCAGAGTTAGGGGAAGAATTAGGGCGGCGACTTTATCAGTCGTCCCACTGTTTCAGACTGAGTTCTATAGGGTAGAGATGGGTGTGGGTGGTTCTACCGTTACATTGCAACTGAGAATGCAAGCTGGGGGGAGTCTGATGAGATTTCAAGTGGCATTGGCGCCAACACTTGACTTTGACAAACATCCAACAGGGCAGGGCACACACATTAATCATGTTTATGGCCCACATTTTGTGTGGGATCCGATCATCATTGTAATATTTTTTGGTAGATTGAACATTCAAGACTCTATTTAAATGAGTATTTTTATTAATTTTTAAACTAACTCCAACAAGGTCAATCAATTTCCATATGTCAGGGATTATGCCTCAAGTTCATTGAGTGTCCCAGGGGTTGCACTTTAATCCCTACTGCCGAATTCCGTGTGAAAGTTCAACAGAATATATGTGTTTGAAATTTCGTAGAACCCTACCCAAGTTTCCTCATTTAGTTGCCAAACTATTCATAATTTTGGGGTACACATTTGCTCATATCTTGATGGGATTAACATATCACTTGTTTATGAATGTATGTACTTATAAAGTTGCTACATTTATCAGCATGTTTAGCCTCTAATTGATAATTGTATCGCTCATTCATTCATGATATATAATGTGATACCGAGTTCCATGACTCATATCCGTTATTTCATAAATATCTATGACTGAATGCTAATATTGAGTGGATCCCAAAACCTTGGGTCCAATTTCTATAGTCGGAGGGAATTTTGTGCTACTAAGAGTCAACGATCAATTAGAATTTATGTACATACATATGACGGAATAAAGTTAAGGGAATACAAATTAAGCACAACCCGAATATGTCTAGTAAACCTTGAGAAATCTTGGGAACTTAAGTAATAAATATGTTTTCTCTTGTGTCAGTCTACCCATTATATTTGCAAGATCTTCAAGATCTGTAAGATGGATGAAAATCTTTCTACTTTACTTTCTTACTAGAGTAAGCCTTGTGAGCTCTTTAAAGTTTGTATAAAAAATCTATAGCCTATTAAGATACTCTGCCCATTCCATTTAGAAGATCTTGGATATTTTATTATATTTAAATTTAAATCCTCCCAGAACCTCAATATATCCATCTTTCTTTCTTTCAAATCGAAAATCTATTTACATATTTCCATATTCTGAATAATATTAAACAATACTTCTATTAATTATCTAATAGAACAACAAGTACAAATATTCCACAGCTATGCATTCTCTCTGTCTTTTTACCATATATTCCACAAATTTACCCTAACAATATATTAAATTAAAGACCCAACATTGCACTCACCTTCACAATCCATGGCAAACGGACTATATTGATCACAATAGCCCGTGGGTTGGGCGGCGGCTGCTGCGGCCACGGCTGCCGCCTGGAAGTGAGGCATAAAGAGCGAGGGATTCTTCTGTAGATTCAGCATTTGCTGGTAGAATAGCGAGGCGGGATCTGGATAGATGGGATTGAAACGCAGTGTCGTGGGCGACAGCACCTGACTGGACTCCAGATTCTTGAGTGCATATTGCGCGGCAACAGCCTCGCGGGATAGATCGTAGATTGATGCTGCTGCCGCAACGCTGGTTGGCGGCGAGGCAGTGGCCATGCTGGGTACAGCTGTTGCCACCACAGGACTGTGTGGCGAAGAGCGACGCGATTGCGTGCGATTTTTGGCACTTTCCGCAGCGGGACTGTGACCCCTACGCGTCTTATGATCCAAGATGTTGTCAATGGAGAAGGAAGATTTGCTTGACTTAGTGCCTATATCCATGATGAAGTAAAGTGTGAGTGGGATCCGTATTCCTATGGGGCACCGAACGATCAGAAGGTACGAAGCGAAGCGACTGCGTTGGCCGCAGGCGATGAACTAATTGATGAACAGTAGAAACCAGCAGCAGAAACCCAGGGCCCAATAAATTGTACTAAATCTGATTTCACAGAATATAATAGATTGTACATATAATGTTGTGCTAATGGGTAGATATCAATATTAACAATAATAGAGCGGTATGTAGATATGACACAAACACACGCAGAGAGAGAGAGAGAGAGAGAGAGACAGAGAAAACCGATATAGATAATGCTCGTGAGCGCGAGCTACCATCGGACTACCATGATAAGCGGCATAGTTGGTTGGTGGTTGAATGGTTGAAGGAGGTGCTCGCTCGGCGCTCCAATGGCTCGATGGCACTCCACTCGACTCCAATTCCCCAGCACAATTTCCAATTGCAGACAACGACGACAGCTACGACAACGGCCGAGATACCGTTACCCGCGCGGTCTCTGTATTGAGACCCTGTATACATCCAATCGGTGGGCGGCGATCCGATCCTAGCAGTCATATAAATCAAAGCGCCTCCATACCAACACACACACCCACCGCACACCCCGCGCAAACGCTGGCTGCAGACGGCCCACACACCTCTGTCAAATTGCGACCATTCCTGCGCGCGTCGGTGCGTTTGATCGAGTAATTGTTAATCACCCCGTTATCGGTTCGAGCTCCGGCTTTTTTTTCGTTTCTCTGCGTTTGTACTACTGTTGAATTGTTCTTTTGGTGTTTGCTTTGACTAATTGTTGTTGTAAACAAATTAAAATTACATACTTTTCACTCTCTTTTAAGTTGGCAGCCTCTCTTCGGTCGCAGGTACCAACGCTTTGATGGAGTAACTGTAAAGATCCTCTCTCTTAAGCGCGCGCTCTCTGTCTCTCTTCTGCATGCGTTTGTCTAACTGTTTTGGTCGGTGAGAGAATTCGGAATATTTGTGTTGTATTTTTTGGGGTGTAAGTGAAGTGGAGGTGTACCTCCTTATCAGCGCTGTACTCGTACTCGGGCTCTCCCCCTTAAAGCCTCCCAGATGATGGATTACTTTTGATTTCGGCATTTGCTTTGGCGATAAAAAAACAAACCAAAACTAACTGCCTCAACTCATATAAATGCTTCTAATTGTTGTTATTGCTGTTGATTCAACAGTTTCTACAGATAGATACCACTCTGATATTGTTTTTCAGGTCGCCCCCGAATTTATCTGCTAGATAATTTGGCAGGGGGGTGTTCACAGGGCCATTGGAATAATATGCATTTTATTAGTAGGATAATGATGATATTTGGATGTTTTCATTTCACACGGTGAATTCCGAACCCTCTCCAGACCTCACTGAAGTCGTACAAAAAGTCGCTCTTTGGAGTGTCTAAACTCTTGAAAAAGATTTACCTCAATGACTCAATTTGGTTTGATTTAATTCCGATAGAGTTACCTAGAAGTTAAATATGATTGAGCCAATTTAGAAATATATTGTTGTGGGGGCAAAGCGCTCTGAATCAGGCAATGAAATATACGCAATCGATTGCCGATTAAGTTTATTTGATTCTACCAAAAATGCATAATAAACGAACGAGTTCATATTCACATGTTCAAATAAAGGTTGGGTTTTTTATGTGAAACGACATTCAGCGAAATCTATTCCTATCTTTTGGTGCCCCAACAACTAATAAAAAATAATAGTCATATCAAAGAAAGGGGAAACGAATATTCAATTATTATTTTTGGGAACTATATATCTTTATGATTCGGTTAAAAAGGGGAAATAGGTCAGTCACTATGCGGGCAAATCAGGTTTTATATTCGAAACTTTCGAGTATTCATACTACAATAAAAACATTGATTCGTAGATTTTCTACGATACTCTGAGAGGTATGGGATATAAAGGATCCTCAGAGTCCTCATTAATTTTGTCACTTGCTACCTGCAATCAGAGTATTAGTTGTGTAACTTACTCCTTCCACTTCCTACCAGCTATTTAACTACAAGATATAAAATTTAGCACGCGGCCATATTATGATAAATCACAAGGTAAAGTGTGAGTGAGTGCCCACAATTATCACAATATACTCGTGTGTATGAATGGTTCGAGTGTGGGCTTGGGGCACCACTCAATGGTAAGGCTATAACTGCCATTTACAAACAATTTTGTGCTTTAAGCCAAATTAAACGAACATAATGAATAATGAAGGTCTGATAACAGACAGGCAAAAAACCAGTGTACATATGGAAATAGTGACATGAAATGGTGTATGGACAGTATTTTGGGGCTACGAGGCATTGATGGGACTCTGCAAAAGCTATCTTTCTCTTTGCTGCTGTTGATAAGGTGTCCCAGGGCTGTGGGGGGCTTAAGGTCGTCAAGTGACGCTAAATTATTAGCAATTATCAGGAGACAAACGGTTCGAAATGACTTCAAAATTGGGCATAAATTGTGAGCAAGGAAGAGCTGCCTGAATTTATAATGTGTCCAAGTCTTATAGGCATGTGCGTAGAGCTGGGTAGAACAGATAACACTGGAATGAAATATATATTTGACATTCTCCTGTAGGCTTTATTTTATACATATATAACTTTATTCGATCACCTTCGAAACTTGTTTGCACGCCCATACAATATTTTTTTATGTATATAATTTTAATGTTTCAGTTGATTTTTGTTCTCCATTGTAATTGGGTTTTTTTTTTGGATTTGAACAATTGGTTTAATTGGTTTATTTACGGTTACTTTGTTTAATTTAATGTTTTATTTATTTCTTTTTTTTAATGCAAATTGAATAAATATTTTGTATATAGCACTACACGTTGGCTGCAAATGTAATTTATAAGCAGTTTTATCATTGACCTCTTATTGCATTTGATTCACTTCTTCTACTACTTCATTCTCTCTGTTTCTCTGTCCTTCGTTTCATACATATACATAGATAGATTTGTTATTTAATATTTATAGATTTATGTTTAGGTTTATCTTTATTTTAAGAACTATTTATAGGCTTCTGCAAGAAGTTGTTCAAGGTTTTGCTTTTGCTTTTGAGAGTTAAGAGTTGCTTTGAGTATTGGTTTGCTTTTGCTTTTTGCTTTGATTTAAATTCCATTTAAAGTAAAAACAATAATTCAAAATGCAAATTAAATTAATTCAACTACAATTTGACACATAACTAGGCATGCACACATTGAGTTTAACAGTTCTGGATATCTTCTTTTCATTTTTCTTTTTGTTTTCTTTTTTTTTGGTTTCAAAAAGCACATTTTGTTGCAAGTTCTTCGAGTATTTCGAGTGTGTGTGTGTGTGTGTGTGTGTGAGTTTTGCTGCCGTCTTTTCTGAACAAGCTGCCTAGACAAATTCAAAATAATAATAATAAAATTCGAGTTTTGATAGCAATTGGACAGTGAAAAATCCGAGTAGCAAAATGAGTTTCAAGTTAAAGTAGAAAGTAGAGTTAAGATTCTTTCGTTTAAGTTAAGAATTTGTTGGTTTATAGTAAAGTTAGGATAGGTTAATAACGTTATACATATACGGATAGGTAGGTTTTTGGTAGGTAGTCTAGACCAGATTCTCCACTTTTGTGGTGTCCATGTGCAGTATTAGGGTGCGCATAAACGACATCTCCTTGCGCGCATTCTCCAATATCACCTTGGGATCATCGGAGGTGCAGCGCAGGCAGTTCGGTGCAAACACCATGGCTAGGTTCGAGGAGTCCATTTTGGTATTGCTCACCACCTCCGAATTGGAGAATAGTTGCAGGAAGTGTATTAGATACGTTAGAACCTGCAAATGGGAAGAATTTGTTTCATTCATTTAAAAGTGTTTTGTGATGCGGTGTATGGCACTCACCAGCTGATTTATTTCGGGCAACTTATTAACTATTTCTTTGGCTTTATCGGGATCCTCGGTATTCACGCAATCCTCATAAAAAGCATCCGGTATTAGCGGATCATACAGCTCGCGATACCACAGCTTAAGCAGGCTCGCTGGCGCATGGGCATCAACTGTAAGAAATGGCAGAGAGTCTACTCAGTAAGCTGCTCCGATGGTTAGCTTTTACCACATACCCATTGTGTTCTTATAGTCAGGAACATCCCACCGATCCAGGCGATTCTTCATGCAGCTCACCTCATCCACATCCGCTGAGACGCGAAAGATGCCCTCCGTTTGCTTGCCATTAAGCAGCAGAACCTAAAACGATCAGCAAAGGTAAGATAACTTTCTTGGTAACACCTTTTGTGTGGATTACTTACATGCTCTGATAGTGTGGTCTGTATCCAGGGCAACTTGCGGAAGGGAAACTTATCCTTTTGCAGATCCATCACCTCGGACAGCGTATTGCCAAACATGCTGTTCCGCAGAATTTGTTGCTGCAAGAGAAAGGTTTACCAAATGTGTAAAAAAGCCTCATTAAAGGATCCTCAACTCACCCTCGCCTGTTCCACCTCATCCTCTGTGGGCTTTTTGGCCAGTTTCCTGCCGCTGCTGCCTATGCGATCCAAGCGACGACAGCACACTGTGGCATAGTGCGAGATCTGCACATGAATGGGCCACTTGCACACCTCCATGAAGCTGGTGGCAAACGAAGGATCGCGATGACGATTGACATAGCTGCGGGGGAACACCAATTGTGTTATAGAATAAACATTCAGCGACATGGGAGATAGTTGGAACTCACTTGAGCAGCGTGGGTTGAAAGGTGGGCGAAGGCGGCACAAAGGACAAACAAATGGCCATCAGCTCCCAACCGCGAATGAGCGACTCTCGCTTGGGATTCTCCGTTGTTTGTCGGCACAACTGCACATATAGCTCATCCCTTAATCTGCAAGGGAAATAAACAAAAATTTAGACACCTTTTAAACACTTTTTATAGTCTCTTGTGGACTCACTGATGCTGCGGCAAGGATGCTGTGATAATGTCAATGGCCACAGAATTGAGATTCATGCCGATGCGTGCTTTGCGATCAGCCATGTAGATTTGCACAAGTTTAAACAGCTCAATGGCCTTTTTTTTGTCCGCCTTATCCCGTGAGAGTGTCAACATGGGGCGACTGATGGCCTCCGCCGTCCAACTGAGCATATCCCGCACCGATGCCTTCTTCCTAAAGATGCCCTTCGAGTGTAGATTCAGATTGTCAGCGGCAAACTTCTCGATATCACATTCCTTCATGCAGGCCAATGTGGCGCCCTGTCCACCCATGCCACTATTGATGCCGCCCGGTGCCCGATCGCTGGGTGGAAATATCTGCTGAATGGTGGGCTTGAGCGATGGCGGTGCCAGCTTATGGCCACCAGCACGTGAGAGGCTGGCCGCCACACCTGTGCCCTGCTGTTGACCGGCAACAAGACTATGGCTATGGCCATGATTGGCCTCATCTTTGGCTGATGCTGCTCCTGCTGCTGCCGCTGCTGCAGTTGATCCCTGTCCGGCCAGACGCGAGATTTGACGATTGGGCGAGGGCAGCGTTTGTGATTGCTTCTGCTTGGAATCGCTTGGATCCAAATGCAGCTGCTGATGCGGCGGTGCCGGTGGCTGGACGTGATGGCCATGCCCATGACCATGACCTTGATAGGGTGGGGTATTCGAGTAAAGCTGCTGAGCAAGGTAGGCACCAGCGCCAGCCGCGGGACTGTGCGAAACGGTGTCATAGTATGAGATCTGATAGCGAGGCTTTGGCTTGGGTACAGCAGGTTGCGCCGAAGGTTCCACATTGCCACCAATACCCTCCAGCACAGCCTCCACATTATCGGAACTGGAAAGGGTAAGAAAAGTGTAAGTTTTGGCTGAAAGATTACTCGTTCTATGGGTGGGACTTACATGTCCTCTCTTCCAGCAGGATCATATGGCGGATATTGATACGCGTAGTAGGAGACACTGTCGCCCATGTTGGCATAGTCCTCGATCATGCCATAGTTGTGCTCCAAGTAGCCACCGTGCGTGTCCGAGCCGCCATCCGAGTCCTCGTTGTCCGGCTCGTGGCCCGAGAGAGAGTGCTCCGACTGGCTGTCCGAGTGATACGAGTCCGAGTCACCGCCATCGCCACCACGATAGTCGTAGCGACCCGACAACTTTGCCTGCTCAATGATGTAGTGCTTGAGGGGCAACAGATGCGGCATCTCCTGATCCCAGTTGCTGTACAGCGGCGAAGTGTTGCCATTGTCGTATTCTGCGTCGCTGTTTTCCGCCTGCAGGTGATGCTGCTGCTGTTGCTGCTGCTTGGAGCGTCGCTTCTCGCCCACACCGCTGTGCTGGTAGCCAGCACGTTTGTCCAGGCTGGAGCTGGCACTGTGACGCAACGATCCTTGGCCCGGGTAATGATGCGATTGCGAGCGATTCGCTGTGGAGTTGTTGGACTTTTGGCGCTGCCGTGCAGAGTCGTTGGAGCCACGCGAAGAGTGCGTCAGCAGGCCCATATTCTCGGAGGCAACTCCACCACCTGGCGAAATGGGTCCCGTCATGCCCAGCGTAATGCGCTCAAGGCTCAGCATATCCATTCCATGGCTGGGCTCCTGTATCCTGGGCGAGTGCTGCAGCTGTGGCAACGGATTCGTGGCACTCGTCTTGGCCTGTCGCGAGCTCTTTGTCTGCGGACTAATCGGACTTTGTGGACTCGAGTCGCTCGAGTGTTTCTTGTGGCTGCTGCTGCCACTGCCCGCTGTACTTGTGGCTGTGTTGCTGCCACTTGCACCACCGCCACCGCCTGCACTGCCACTCTTTGTGGCATTGGTTGTGTGCCGTCGCCTGGACAGTGGTGTGTTCTCCACCGATTTGAAATACTTTTCGTGCATTGAATCATCGCTGGCTGCGCCACCATTAGCCGCCTCGGCGCTGCTCTTGCGATAGGATTTGCTATGATGTCCAGCAGCTGCGGGATTGATCGAGGAAGACATGAAGCTCCCCGAGCGGGCCAACGACACTTTGTACTCTCGATCTACAAGGGGGGTTGAAAGATGGATAGAAAATAAATTGGTTTAGAATGGAGTGAAGTTCATTTCACTTTACCTCCGCCATAAGATTTACCCACTGGCGTGCCAGCAACTCCACCACCGATCACTCCTCCAGCTCCTCCACTGCGTTGTGCGTTCCTTTGTTGATGCTGCTGCTGTGCGTAATTGTATGGGTTGCCTGTGGGTGCTGCATCTGGCGATATTTTCTTCTTTTGCGACTGCGGCGTGTGGATGGAGTGGGTGGGCGAGGCAATGTCCGATGATTTTGATGAGCCATAGCCCTGCATATGATTGGGCAGAAGCTGATGATCGAAGTACTTGTCGCCATAGCCACTGCCTTGACCCGTGCCTGTGCCCGTGCCGCCACCAATATACGATGAGGATGTGGACGTTGTGGTGCCATGCGGTAAATTATGCGAACTAACGCTCTCTTGCAACATTTCAAAGCTATAAAGCGTACCGCAAACCCAGAGGAACAAGCATTAAAGTGTGGAATAATGAAATGAGGCGATGTCGACTTACGCTCCATTATCCTTGCCGCCGCTACGCTGATGCTTTTGCAGTGAGCCCAAACGCAAGCCATCGGCATGTCCGCTTATGCCATTGCCCGCATCATTGAAGCGCCTATAGCCATGCGCACTGGACAAACTCGAGTCACTGGATTTACCCGATTCCTTGTAGTGATTGCAGGAGTCTGCGAACAATAAACACACGCAAAAAATCAATTCAAGGATGAGTCAATAAATGAAGGTGCCGCAGCAGCAGCTTACCTTGTGAACGTCTCGAGGCATATGCCTGCTGCTGCTGATGCTGCTGTTGCAGGTCCATCGAGCGGGATGAGTCACCGGTGCCGACGCTGCGAAATGAATGGAATGTAAACACAATTCGTAAGAGAACATAAACAATCCAGAGTTTACTCAACTCACCGAAAACTTTGACGTCCACGCGGACTAGAGATCATTTCAGTGCCGGGCAGCTTCTCCTCGGAGCTGGCCACTGCACCATTACCGCCACTGATGCGCTGCCCACGCCCCTTCTTATTTGGCCCTGACATGGGCGATGCCTGCTGTGATAGATGCTGCTGCTTCTGCTGTAGCTGTTGTGCTTGGGGCTGTGGCTGTGGCTGTGGCTGTAGCTGTGGTGTTGGCTGTTGTTGCTGCTGCTGCGGTGGATGCTTCTGGGGCGTTGTCTGCTCCCGCCGCTCACTAGGATCGGTGTTCTGTTTGAGCGTCTGGAGCTTGGCCAGCGGTATAATGTCACACTTGCTCGGCCGATGCCACACGGTCTTCTGCGTGGCCGCATTATAGTAGTAGAAACGCTGCGTATTCGTATCAAACAGTTCCCACCACTGCGATGAGTCGGTACGCTTAATTGGCACATCCTGTAATGCGACAAGAACGAAACGGGAACGAGAATGAGTACGGGAACGAAACGGAACATAGCGAAACGAAACGAGATGGAACGCGTGGCAAATTATTATCATTTATATTTTATGCGTAGGTGGAACACCAGATCAGATGTGACTTAAAAATGAAATAAAGCGAGAATTTATGGTGCGTTTAAGCTGCCTCTTTGACAGGCCTACAAATCAGCTGTGCAATGGTGTGCATTTTGCATGCTGATCAGCTGTTTGCAACAACGATAAAGCGCAAATCTCCTATTGGATTCTGTACCTGCAAGGCTACGACCCTTGCCCTACATAAATCCTTATAAATCTATTAAAAAATCGCAGCTCTTGTTCCATTTTTGTGTCCAATTTCGTATCCAATTCAGTTAAGCTTAAATAGTTTCTACTTTCTGTAGTTATCTTTGCCATAAAGACTGTGGCACGTTTCCACACATCTGTCTCGCAAAATTTCAACAGAACTGACACTGGACCCAACCAGACAGACAGACACAGCGACGGCATTATGTGCTGATGTGCTTGGGGCATTGATAAGTCGCCTCCGTTTCTGGCCGCAGCTTTGTTGGATCCTCTATTGTTGTTGCTTTTAGCCTCTCTTGAATTATAACCAACAATTACACAAAACGAATTTATTTTTGGTATTTCTTTATTCTGCACACAAGAGCTTTTCTTTCGGGCATAATCAGCAAACTTGAGAGGGGTAGAGCGAGAGAGAAGGAGAGGTAGAGTGAGTGCACAATGAGCTTTGTGTGTGTTTTTAATCTGAATCTGAAGGGTTTTATCTTCAGCGCAAATACAACAAGTGCCTTGACAAACAACAAGGTTTTTCTCGATTATTCCTGGCACAGGCCCACTCCCCGTACCGCCCTCTACCCTTCCCCAACCAATGGCCTTGTTGTCCACGAGGCGCGTGTCTTTAATCCGCTTCATCTCGCTCAAATTCTCTCTCTCTCTGCTGGCATCTCTTTCTGTCAGAGAAGTCAGGGTTATTTCTGCAAAATGCATGCAGCGGCAGCAGCAGCGTGGGCCTGACCTTGAACTTTTTGCACTGCAGATGCGCCCGCCCACAGTAAAAACACTGAGCCCAGGCCCAAGCCCAAGGCCCCAGACCTCAAAAACGGGAGATGAGGAGCAGCGCTAAAGAGTAGCAAGAGGAAGAGCGTAGAAGAGTGGGAGGGTATGGAGAGAGGAAGAGCGCAGCAGAGTGGGAAGGTATGGAGAGAGGAAGAGCGCAGAAGAGCTGAAGAAAGAGATGTCAATGCAAGGTGCATTAGAGAGTAGGTGAGGACTCATTTCTACATCTCTCGATCTGTGTCAAAAGCAAGGCCCTTGCCTTACCCTTTCCGTTACATACCCTGCTGCTTGCCCTGACCCACGCTCGTTTTTAATCTGCAGCTGTCGTTTGTGTTTGTTGCTTTTGCTACTGTTACTGTTATTGTGGTTGCAACTGCACCCAATCCTCCTCCCCCCTCCTGCTGCTGCTCTTACCAAACCCACTACTGCCTGCTGCTGCTGTCCATTGCAAATGAAAGCTTTCAGCTTGGCTGCTTTTCATTTCTGGTATTCCATTACCATTTCCATTCGGAGGGGGGAAAACCGCCTCTTTGCACTGCGCTTCGTATGTTGCATAATTTGTGGGCGCGACCAGACGCTGATTGGGGAAAGGCTACTCATCAGAAAGGGGGGACGGTAGGCAATGCGATGCGATGCCAGCCAGCGATGGCAATGTCGTCTCGTTACGCTTTTCGCATTGTTGCGTTTCCAACTGTCAGTCAAGTCCGGCAAGTCAGTCAGTCAGTCAGTCAGTCAGTCAGTCAGTCAGTCAGTCAGTCACTCAGTCATTCAGTCATCCAGCTTGTCCATCCTCCCCTGCTTATCTGATCTTTCCTCTACCTTCCAGCAGCGTGAGACACATTGTACTATTTATAAGAAACATCACCCGACTCGCCCTCATTTATGGCCTTGTGCGATATTCCAAATATTTTTTTGTAATTATGGAAGTATGGCAACAACAATGGGGATAGATGAGGAGAGTCGCTCTATGGCCCACATCTTTATCTCATCTGGCAGAGCACAGAAAATTATATTTCAAATTGATGGAACTTTGTATACCCCATACGACTAGATTTAACATGGGAAAACAGGCAAAAGTTCGAATTTTGTATGACATAAGTGGGTAGAATTCCACTAGATTTCGGAGTATTTTGACCAAAGTGTATTCCAATAGTGGAAGTTATGAAAGTATTTCTTTAAATGTCATGCCTTTCTTTTTTGGAACCTTTCTTGGTCAACTTTTTCCATTATATTCCATTAAATATATCAAAATGCTCGGTATTATCTCGACTCTTTCGTTGCTACACATTTTTCAGCCTTTCCTTTTTCCAAAATTCCATTGTTTTTGTGCTGGTAGAAGGCGAACAGAAATGCTTTCAAGAGCGTTGCACTTGACTCTGGCAAAAATGTGAAGAGAACCCGTCAAATTTCCTTCAAATTTGTAATATTTGTTGGGGATTAATGCATCAAAATGATTTGTTTTTTGCTTTGTTAAACTTTCTTCAGAATTCTTACTCATGCCCCGTTCCAACTGAGTGAAGATGAAAGACCTCAAAAGATATCAAGATATAATAGAAGCCTGCTGTTTGTCATCCACAATATTATTATGATGAAGCATGGAAAAGTGGGATATAATTTCCCAACTGAGCTGGCAAATACAAAATTATACATAGTATAGTCGTAAGAATGATCATGTTTGATCCCATTTAGTGTGCCACAATCAAACCTCCACTAATTTCCCCAATTGACGATGCCAATGGGAGGCTATAACTTTATATATAGATCATTCTTACGCACATAATGCATTCGTTTCGTTATCGTTTGCCTTCAATTTGCTACACTAAGTACTCGTACATAGAAATGTTCGCTGCTCTGGAGCGTCTGGGCGCTTATTGAACAACAATTCCAACTTTTAATCAGCGGCAAATGGTGGCCGGGCAAAGAGTGGCGCAAGCACGAGATTTCCAATCGGGTGGGGTCTCTGGCCGTAACACTGTTGCCGAGGTCAGTTATGGGCCGCACTCGCTTCTCCTTCTCCCTTTTCCTTACCGATCCCAGAGTGAATCATGCTTGGAAGAAATAGCCAAAATAAAATTAAACGATCCACAGACGGCACCGAAATACATGCAATACGTAAAAACAAATAAAATTGAATCGAAATATATCGTTGTTCCGTTTTTGCAAATTAGGTCATCATCAGAGCGAATATTTGAAGCCCAGCAAGCAAAGAGATCTGAAAATAGCCCCCCACCATTGGAGCCCGCCGATAACATCTGAGGGACTAATGAATGAGTGTCTGGCGGACTACTGTTTAAAGAATTGTGCGAATTCGTATTGGAATGTGTCCCCCAAAATGGTAATGGTATTCAATGAATGGAATTGAATTGTTGGCTTGCCAAAGCAAAGTTTAGGGAGTTGCGCAATTGAAAGACATCTTTATGTTGGCATAGAAGTTATTTCCAATTATCGAAAAAATGTTCGAGTATGATCAGAATCCCCCTGAACGCTTCCCAGACACAAGCAATAACCATCAAAGGTCTCTAGATTTATAGATAATGGCCAATGGGGCAGAGAGGAGTTGTCCACATGTTTCACATTCTCGAGGGAGCAGCAGCATCGGAATGCAGATCTCCGGAATATGCCCCATTCCCCGATGCTTTATTTATAGATCTACGGGCGGGCAGTGTAATGCAAAGAGCCTAGTCTTAAGCTTATTTATGGGTTTTTCTTCTACCAATTCTCTTGCCTTCGCGTATAGGGAAATTTATTCTGAAATCGAAAATGAAATTGAAATGTGTGCAATATCAATAATCGTTAATCAAACAAATAAAAATGCTTGATTTGTTGTCATATTCAAATGAATCTGTGTGGGTTTTAATGGAGGTCTTATCGCGGCTTGAAGCTAAACATAAAAAATGTGACTAAGCAACCAATATAGATCGGACGTCATCGATTTGCATGTGGCAGCCACGGTAGACAGTTTTCATGTATCCCCATGAGGCATGAGCCATTTCACAATTTCTCATTTCATGCCTGAAAGTATCTCTAATAGCCCCAAAAATAATTAGCAATATTTATGCACATTTAATTGGCTTCGTAATTGCTTTCAAATTATGCCAAACAACGCGGAAGAAATGGTTAGATGTGTGTGTAACCCAAAAGCATACTTCGGCCAAGACAGGAAGCCATACCTTGCCCAAGAAGGCTATGGGCAATAGCTCGACGAAGAGTTGAGTCTGCTGCAGCTAAAAGTAATCGATTTATGACATACCCAACGCCAAAGGGAGTGCAACAGAGTGCAGCTACAGGCAAACCAGACACCAGACGAGTGATTAACATACAGGACTAACACCGACTGGTCGATAGAACAGAAGGAATATCCATTCAACCGAGTGTTCCCCGAGTGCAATCAATTCCAGTGTTCACATGACAGGACCAAGCACGCCTCCAGGCTAATATACCCAACATGCTGCCACCTAATAACAATTTGAAATATTTTGACGATTGCGTAGCACCAGTGACACCACCACGTCTCCCACTGCGACCTGCTGGGAGGCCCAGAACGGGGTTTAACCATTTTTGAGGAACCAAAACCACCGGTGCCGCTTTTGGTTACCCTCAACGTGGTGGCCTCGTCCCTCTCTTCGCCTGGTTTTGGGTGACGCCGGCGGACGCACGTGAACATTATCGTTTTCCCTGGCTTCGGGGGCTTCTTCGTTCGAGGCGAATTTTGTAACATGAAACGAGCGACGTTCGTCGTGAGGGCAACTTTTTCTTGTGTGCTTTCTTCTGCTGCTTCCTCTCTGCCTCTGTCGCACTCTTCTTTTGCTACTTCTTCTGCTTCTGCTGGTCCCTATTAACCGGAAGTTTTACAAAGGCAAACGAGCAAAAAGCAACAACAGAAAAAAGTATGAAAAAGTTGACAAAGCGCCCAGGGTGAGAGGGGTATAGCAGGGAGTAATGTCGAGTTATAATAAAAAGCACAGAGAGAAAAAATAGTAGTCCCAACTGTGAATAAATTTCAAATCACGTACAATGAACGCAGGCCGCGCTGTTCTCAATGGTGTTGTTGCTTCTGCTTTCTGCTGGTGACACCAAAAAGAGCGCAGCACGCTACAACAAATACAGGGCGCGAGACAGCGTCGCTAAAACAAAAAACTGCAAGTTGGCCAACAGCAACAAAAACAAGAACAGCAGGCCGCAGCAGCAGAGAAAAACTTTCAACAGAGCAAGAAAGGAGTTTTAGCTGAGTAACAGAAACGTTTAATACCCTTTTCCGAAGATTTGTGTGGAATCTTAAAAATATATTTATACACTTTTGATCACATTTGGCCAGGATATTAAAAACTTAAGCTATATCGTCTCAGCTTTAAGTTATAAACACAAATATATTTGTTTTATACGGTCATAAATGCCTATTTTCCCGTTGTTTACAAACATCTGGCCAAAAAAAATACTCTCCCTCTTCAAGGGTACGACAAGCAGAGAGAATGTTGCTAATTTCGAGCACGTTAGACTGATGCGGGGGTGGCATAATGAAGGCAAAGAGAGACAAGAGGAAGCATCGGTGGGGATGCAAGAGGAAGTGGAGTGTGATCACCCCCCTCCCCGCTTGACTCCTTTAATAATGTCTTTTTCACGCTGCTCTGCATAAATTCTTTAGATTATATTGCGCAGTGAAAAGGATTCGCTTCCGCAGCAGCGCTGAAGGGGAAGCGCAGCAGCAACAATTGCAGTGCAGCTGGCGTCGCTGCTGCGGCTGACGTTGACTTCGCTGCAATCAGATATTATACTGAATTGAGGGCGGGACTTCTGCTACTGCTAGTTAGGGAGACTGAACACCCAAGAATGAGATGGGAAAGGGATTCTCTAACGAAAGTTTTTTACGCCAATATGGAATATTCTGCCTTTATTCGTAAACGACTAAGCATCATTAATTAACTCTGTTGATCAAATTGTTGTCGAGCAATGCAGCCATTGATATTTACCTACATATGTATATTTACTGTTTGTTTTTCTGCTCATCTGTTCTCTTTCGTTGAACCAGGTATGACACTTACTTAATGTTAATGTATCAATGGTGCGATGGGGACCTACAAAATTACGTGCTGTCGTAGAGACATACTTTCTTGTTGAAACCTACTTAATGGTATACTAACTGGACAGGCTTAATGGATCAAGGGGGACTAATTTTATATCACGTTGTTTGAGGTAAGTGTCATATAAGATTTAGCGCCGCCACATGCCAAACAGCAAGAACGGTATGTTTGCGTCTGTGTCTCTGCGTGTGTGGGTGACGTTGTCGATGACTCAAACAGAGAGTGAGAGTGACAAAAACCGAAATGAAATGCACACAAATAAACACTCTCGAAAGAGCAACAGAGAGGCAGAGAGAAAGCACAAGCGCACACACACACAGATGTGATGTGTTTGAGATATGAGAAAGGGTCAGGCAGCAGACCGACCACATGCAATAAATCATGGCGTCAAACGGACACGACACCCACGGACGGGCAACCCAAGGAAAACAGCACTCTCTCAGCATGCAGTGCAGGCAGGACTCTCATTAAGGAAGCAGAACGAGCACTGACACATGCACTGCCAAACTGCATGTGTGAGTGCAATCAGAAGCGAAACGAGGCCGTCCGCCAGGCAGTCGACGAGGACATTGGAGCCAGCAACAAAATCAATGAAATTTTCACTACTTCCGGGCACAGAGAGGGCAAAATAAAAATGAAACCGTATAGAGGCAAAATGAGGATAACCCGGTCTGTGTTTGCCTTTCTGCTTTGGCTGGATGGCTGTGCCTGCGAGCGAGACCAAAGTTATTAGCCTGCAACACCTTTTGGGAGTTGCCGCATTAGGAAAGCCAGCACGAAAATGGAAGAGTGGGCAAAGAAAGCATGAGCAGGAGAGGGAAATGGAGCCAAAGAGCAGGAGACGGTAGCAAAGGCTTTTGACCAAACAATTTCAAACTTTACGCTCTTTTGAAAAGGAAAAGTTTTGATTTAAAATGGGTGAAAAAGCAAAGAATATTCAATGAAAATGTTAGTTTTGATTTAAAATAGAGGAGAAGAAAATATACTCCATGAAAATCCTAGTTATGAAGGATGAAAGGGAGAAAATGTAGCTAAAAACTTTGAAAAGAAGTGCAGAAAAGAAGAATGAAAGCTTTTAAAGACGAAAAGAAATTAAGAAAAGGAAATTGTAAGCACTAAAGGTTGAAAGGCGTCTTGAACAACAAATTCTCAACGGCAAACACTTTCTCTGTCTGTTATATCAGAATAGTTATATCATTCGACAGATATTTTAATATAATTAACCTTGGTCACGCCACTTTACGAACTGGGTTATGAAAATTTGCAAGCCAAACCACAAGCATGAAAATTGTGCAAACAAGTAGTGACCCAGAATGATAATTAAGAAACCAGCCGGACAACAAATTGTTCATCTAATCATTTGCAAAAAGAGATCCACACGAACCCACAGTCCCCTCTGGAGGGTTAATGAACCCCGTTAGGCGAGCGAGTGATCTTATATTAAAGTTCTCTCTTGGCTGGAATTAGACGTTAGGTGTCCGCCTAGGAGAGATTCAAATGGTGTGGCATATATTTAAATAATTATAACTTACTTCTGGTGGATCCCAAACGCATTCGCCAGTTGTGAGATTGGCATACATATGCTCCTTGGTGCGTGGCTCGATGATTTCTACCCATTCTATTCTGAAAGGCCGAAAAAAAAGAGAAAGTGATAAAAATGGAGAGACAAGGATGGATGGCAAGCAATCGAGCGAGCGAGCAAGAAATACACATAAATAAGACATAAAATGCGATTGCTTCTATTTTAGAGCGCCTAAAAAAGCATTTCAGGAATGCTCTTCACGCCCGTGCGCCTTCTCTTCATGCACCGTAGGTACAAGATATTTTGTAATACACGCCCCAGTAACAGCAACAAAAACAGCACTGTTTGCAAGAGCAAAGCGAAGAGAAATACTCTTACAGAAAGCAAACGGCAACAACACTCTTTAAAGGAGCAATCTGCTGGAAAGGGAAACCCATCAGGAACGGGACAAAGTCCAGCCCCCCTTCCACTCTTGTCATTCAATTTTGTTCACTCATTCATTCATTGCGACAAATTTCTATACGGAAAAAAGCTGACCAAATTCGGCTTTTGTGCGTAAGATCTCATTCATTATAATAGATAATATGTGCGTGTGTGTGTGTGTCTGGTTTTCCCCCACAATCAATTGGGCTTTTCTCTTCACACACACAGACATATTTTGTCAAGCGTTATCCGGTTTTTCCTTATTTGAAAATTGCAGTCAGGGGCCATCCTTTCCTACACACACACATAAAGACACAAACACAGACACACATACGGAAGTAAGGAGTGAGAGCGAGCAAGAGAGGGCTGGGCTCTCTTTTTGGCATATTTGGCAGCACGACGCTTGTTGCCGCGCCTTGCAAGAAAATCGATTTTGCAGGCACGCTTGGCTTAAAAGCCAAAAAATGCATAAATTTGCCAAGTCCCAGGCCGGCCCGGCCTCGAGACTGCCATTTAATCAAGCTAAAGAAATGCAGGGAGAGACCGGGCAGCGGAGGGGTGGGGTGGCTCACTAGCAACCCACACAAACGCACACACGCACTCAGTCACACACGCTCTTCAGCACGCAGCTGTCAAAGCGGCAGGCGGCCCGCCTTAAAGAGGAGGACTCCTTCACCTCTCGCGCTCTGACACTCTCTCTCTCTCTTGCGAAATCCACCCACCACCACCCAGTTGCACTCTGCATTGAAATTTTCTGCATTCAAGACAATTTATTTAACAAAAGCATCTGCATTGTTGCTGCTGCCGCTTGCTTTCTTAATAAATTGTATACACAATTTCGACATTTGCGTTGTCTAGAGGTTGCTTCTGTTGTTGCTGCTGCCATTTGTTGTAATGCTAGTTGTAGTGTAACGGCACACACCTTTCACAACTTGAACTCATTTTTTTCTCCTCTTTATTACTGGCCGCTCTGTCGGCTGATGGGGCGGCGGGTTTCTCTTGGTGTTGTTGTTGTCGTCGTCTTCGCTGGTGCTGGTGCTGCTGCTGCTGTCTCCTTTTGCTATTTCTGCTGCTTGCCTCTGCCTATTCCACTTGGTTTCCTTACACACACCACACACGAACGCACTTAATAGATATATATATATCTATATCTATATATTTTTTCACTTATTTTCGTTTTGGCCGCGGCAGCGAAAATGCAATTTTTCTTTCTCAATTGATTTTTTCTACCCACTCGCACTCCTTTTTCACATGCGTGCCGTGGACGAATTTGCGTTTGTTGTTGTTGTTGCTGTTGTTGCAATGCAACTGGAAAACACTTTCACATTTATGACATAATTTACAGGCCATATTTTCGCTTTGCTTTTCGTTTGTGCAACTGCATGTTTCTTGTTATTTTTGAAATATGTCGCTGCACCGCCTCAATTCGAACAAATCCGCTTTTCGCTGCACAAAAAATTCAACAATATCGTGTTCGTTCGCGGCGGCCAAAACATTGAGCGGCAGTGTGACCGGGGGCTTATGAAAAAAAATATACCAGATAAGCAGCTACTATATACCTTAATATACCAAAGAACTACCATATTACATACCGATATACAAAAAGTGCGTGAACGAGCTTAACCCACTTAGGCTACCTTCTATTAAAGAAACTTTTTGGTTGAATAAAATCTCATTTCACATGTTTAAACATACAAAGTTGTAAAAAATAGTTTATATTTCAGGAAAAACACACATCGTGCAGCTTAACTAGCAATTTAGTAACAATCGGAAATCATATTCTCATCATCACGCTTTATCGCACACAAAATATCATCCAGCAAGGATGTCAAGTTCTCTGTGCAGTCAAACCACTCCTCTTGCTGTTTAATCAACTTGTCCATGTCAATGGTCTTCAGTTCCACAAAGAATTGTCGCAAGGGCATGGCAAACTGTTTGTAGTAGAACTCGTCCACGTGCCGCTTCTCATCGCCCTCCTCGTTGATTTGCATTTGTGTCTGGAAGGCTGTCTCCAGCAGCTGCGCATCCTGCGAGTTCAGAATGCCCTCAATAATCTCATCCGCCTTGTTGGGATTCACGGGGGAACTGCGTCCCGATGGCTGTGGCGTTGGCTCCTGCGGCTTAAAGTTAAACGAGGAAGATGGCTCATTGCTGGGGGGCGGCGATCTCAACTCAACCTCCTCCATGATGCCCTTGTAGCGCTCAAACTTTTCATTCATTATTTTAAGGCCGTGCACAAGAACCTCCAGCACTTCCGTGGAAACCTCTTCGCGCAGACACTTGATGATGATGCCAAAGTAACCGTATTGCTGCACTTCCCCAAACACTTTGGCAAAGCTCGTCTGAATCTCCTTCTCCGTCAGCGTAACAATCTTTTTCTGCTCCTTCGAAAAGGTCACCGTGGGAAAGATGCCATCGATCATGCCCTGATTGCTGAACTGCCGGAAAAACTCCCGACGCCAAAACATCAAAGCATTCATCTTGACCTCCGAGTGATGATCCCCAACCACGCAGTAGTTGAGGGTTGAGAAGAGCGTGTTCTTGTACTTCTGGTGGATCTTGCGATGCTCGTAGATCTTCATCAATGTGATGACTGCCTCTGCACGCACGAGATCATCATTGTCACGGTAAAGCACAAACAAAAGATGGTCCTGAAACAAAACAAAAGATATTGTAAAATTTTTTAGACATAAAAAGTGTCAAATCTTACTACAAGATCAAGTTGACTGAGTCCATTCTCCCAGAGTAGATTGATGGACACCATTTGGGAGAGGCATTTGAAGGCGGAGGCACGCACATAGTTCTCGGAATCATTCTTGGCCATTTCATAGACAATCGGAGGTATCTTTGAGTCAATCAAAAACTGCTGAAAGGCGGGAAACTCTAAAGGAAAAGTAAATTTTTGTTAATAATTTAGAATAGTTTTGGGACTGGGTAACCTACTAATGCGGGAAATGCTGGCTATGGAGGTGGTTAGCTCTAGCGTTGTATCACGCACCTCCCATGTGGTATCGTGCATGCGCTTGACTATAATAGGACCCAAGCAAACCAACGCCGAGCCCTGCAAATTGTCCACCAGCAGTGCCATGTTCGGTGACAGAAAATGCTCCACAGCCAGCTGCACGAGCTTCAAGGCTTGCACATTGCACTGCAAAAGAGACAAAAAATCATTGAAATTATTGATAATTAATGAACATTTCATCTTTTGCTCACTCTCGCATCCATGTTGGTGTTCTCCAGCACAAAGGCCAGAGAATTGACAAGGCCAATCGTCTCCACAGACTCCTTCCATGTAATCTTAAAGCGTTCAATGAGCGTGCGCAGGCCCACCATGACGGAATGCAGAACTTTAGGATCATTCACCACCAGCTCCGTGCCGCGTGGATACAGATCACGATAGGTGGTGGCCGAGCTGCACGCGCTACTAACGCTATGACAATCCTCTTGATCCGAACTGCCGAGCGAGCTCATGGCCACCACCTCGCGGAGGACATACAGCAAGGCCTGACACACGGTAATGGCCTGCTCGCGGTCCAGCACATGCTCAAGGGCCAGTATGCTGTGTATGCACTTGTTGGCCAACTCTGGCGTGAACAGTCCAACTGCGACACCTTCGGTCGTAAAGAATGCATCACGCATGCTGTAGCACATGCGGAATGTCTGCTCGCACGATATTTCCATCAATTTCAAAATGTAAGCGTCGAAGAGTTCGGTGCGCGTGGCCTCGTCCGACTCCCGATGGGCGTACTTCATGGATAAGAGCAGCGGCAGCATGTGAAAGCAAATCAATTGATTCTCAAAGGTGACACGCTCCTGCTGTATGATAATCTCCTTGGGCGCACGAGCGCCGAGCTTCTTCCACAGTATGTGATTCAGTTCGGCCATTTTCACAAAGCCCACGCCGTCGCTTCGGGTAATGAAGAATTTCATGAGATTAAAAAAGGACAAACCGAATTCAGTACATTCTTCGGGTGGCTCCGTCACATCCGGATTCAGCAGCTTCTCGTGCATCAGCAGGGCAAAGTTGTAGCTGCTCAGCGCCGTGAAGATTTTCTCCACAAAATACGGATTGTGCGTCATGTCGATAAGCTTCCAAAGTGTTAGTTCCATGTCATGATACTCTTTCATCAGTGAGATGAGCATTGTGCGCTCATCATGCACCAGCGTTTGCTGCAGAATGTACGACAGCAGATCCAATGTGGCGGAGATCTTGTGCAGCAGCTCATTGTCGTCCACATTAATGTGAATGCGTTCCTGCACCTCGGGGTCTGTGGTCTTGTATATATTATCATGAATAGGTTTCATTATCTCTGCCAAGATTTCCAGAGTAACAGCCTTGTCGTGCAGCTTGTCGCACGATTTGTAGAGTATCTCGTAGAGCACCTGCCTGGCCTCACGCACCACATACAACGTGTGATCGTTGTTCGAGTATTGAATCAGCAATGCCCACGTGCGATGAATACGCATGAATGCCAGACCCATGCTGAAGCGAGCCACGGCCTTCATCAGCCGTATGCCACCCAGCTTGATTGACGGACTAAACTGACGATCGTCCGTTTGCAGGAATTTAATAGTTCTGCAAGGGAATTTCAGTTGAAAGATACAAGTGGTGAGGCAGTTCTGGTTAGGAGACTCACCTGCCCACTATGTCCAGTTCACGTAGGCGCACAATCATCCATTCGTTGGATGCCAAATAGCTGGTGAGATTCAACATGAACGATATCACCTTTGGATGAATTTTATTGAAATCCTCCGTCACCATGGTCATGCATCTGTCCACCCAGTCGACAATAAAAGGCGCCTGCATCACATAGGCATTATCTGCCGAAGATGTCCGATTAGTAGATAGTATAGAAAGAAAGAAGCATGCTCACCTTTCGCCTTAAGGTGCGTTAGAAGCTTCTCAAAGTAAACATTGTTCGTTGTGGAAAAGTTATCGCGCAGAAATGTGTCCAAGATTTGCCTGAGGCGCGACAGGATCTCCTCTTGCTTTTGCATTTTGTGTGTGTTTATGTAGGCCAATTATGCGTTCGACTGTCTCGAGTGCATAGTTTTTATGCCTTTGCTTTTGTAATTGTTTAACCAAATAGTGAAATCTTTCGATTGCGGCTCCCTTATCACGAGCGAAGAACACTTGTTTTTGTTATGAGTGTTGGCTAGCGTTCAAATAGGCTGCACTGCTGCATGGTCAACCATTTTATAGCTAATATTACAGCTTAACTAAATATGCAAACCATCTCGTATATTTTGTTCGTTCTCACTGCAACCTTTTTCCCTACGGCTGTCCTTGTATTTGTCAGTTGTTTACTGTTTTAAAATGTACAATGAAAAATTGTTGGCTTATTTGCTGCACAAAACATAGCCAAAAATGCATCTCTATTAAGAAAGTTATGTGGCCACTGGTCATACAGCTTGCGTCTTCCAACACTACTTGTAGATGCAAAATAATGACGCTGACATCGACGATTGGATTATTTTTGTTATAAGAGGGGACGTATAATGGATAATAATGTAGAACAAGCTCCCGAAAATACGCCAACAGCAGCAGTAAGAACAGGAACAGCAGCCGAAGTAATCAGTGGAACACGCAACGCAGGAGCAACGCCAGCAACGAACATCTTGGCGAACAACGCAAACTCAACCTTTTGGAAAAACAGCGGACGTCGAGTGCCCGGACGACCGAGTCCCAAGCGCGAACTCCCGCAGGAGGTCGTGGCGACAGGTCAACGCGGTGCCGGCATTGGCATGGTGTCCACCTTTCGTGACTATCAGCAGTCGGTGAGCGATGCCTGGGACACGGGCGATGACGAGTTTTGCATCATCAGCAGCACGGAAGCGGCAGCAGCGGCGGCCGCAGCCGGAGCCGGCGGTGGTAATTGCAGCTTATCGCACTCTTATCAGGGTTAATTGATTTAAATTTCCGTATTCCCTCTCCCCATAGATGGCACTCGCATATCGCGGCAAATGTCACAAACGGCGGCGCTCAATGTGATTGAAACGCATTCGCGCAGCAATCAAAATCAAAACCACAACACACCAAGGGCCAACGACTGTGAGCAGACCTCAAGCACCAGAAGCACACCGGAAGAGAACCGAGAAGAGCGACGACGATCGCTGCCAGACAGCAATGAGAACAGGTGAGGGGGAAGCAACAAATAGAAAGTTCAGCGAGGGTCGTCTGACTCGCAGTTGTGCAAACAACTGCCAGGGGGTCTGTCCTTAGTTGCTCAATGATGTAAGCCAGGCATAAGCGAAGTTTGAGGCATGAATGCCAGAATACAACAGTTTTTCCAACAGACTTTCACTCACAGTCATGTGGAGAGGCCGCGAAACATCTGCACCACAGAGTAAACTGAATCCTAATCGAATTCTCTTTTACAGATCACGATTAAGAAACTATCCCGGCAGACCGCAACTGCAAAAGATCAGCTCCAACTCACAAGATGGCGAATATGAGACGAAAATCGAAAAGTTTCAGCTGCTGCTCGACTCGCCGCAATTGGATTTGGTGGCCCTCAAGAAGCTCAGCTGGTCGGGAGTGCCGCGCAATGTAAGGCCAACACATTTCTGGGTGTGTTTCTGTCTGAACTTCAATTAAATTTCTCTCACAGATGCGCGCTGTAAGCTGGCGGCTGCTGTCGAAATATTTGCCCCCCTCGAGCGAGCGACGCATGGCGGTGCTGGAGAGCAAGCGGCAGGGCTATCAGGATTTGAGACACAATTACTTTAAGGTTGACAGCCAGGATGAGACGCAACAGGATACGTATCGTCAGATACACATCGATGTGCCTCGCATGAATCCACAAATACCGCTCTTCCAGCAGCAGCTCGTCCAGGAGATGTTCGAGCGTATACTCTTCATTTGGGCCATACGGCATCCCGCCTCGGGCTATGTGCAGGGCATCAATGATCTGGTCACGCCGTTCTTTATTGTATTTCTGCAGGAGGCACTGACGCCCAACACAGATCTCGAAAAGTTTGACATGTCCACGCTGGAGGAGGAGACGCGCAACATCATCGAAGCGGATTCCTTTTGGTGCCTGTCGAAGTTTCTCGACTGCATACAGGATAATTATATCTTTGCACAGTTGGGCATACAGGAGAAGGTCAATCAACTCAAGGATCTTATACAGCGCATAGACGGTGAGTGAGAGGTGCTAAAAGGTGCCACAGATATGATGGAAATGTGTGCACATACTTTTATATGATAAGATAAACGTATCTCTCTCGCAAGAATGGTTGTCTGTTGTGCTTAAAGATAACCCCCCAAAGCTATGACCATAAGCTAACACAATTGACATGCTACGAGCCATTGTTCTAGCCACTAATTACACTACTCGACAAAGTTTCCCTTTTTATTTATACTTCGCAGCAAACGAACTTTTTGTGTTAGACTTAGGGCATTATCATTTGTTGTTTGTTAGTTTCTTGACCAATTTTGGCTTAGCTATCTCTCCAGAGATTTTAATCAGCAATACTTCAAATGACGCGGATTAAATGCTTCTATTCACAAAAAAAAGTGGACGCGGTATTTAATTTTTTTTCGACTTTTTCTGAGTTGTTAAATTCAAAATGTTGTTAAAAATACGTCACTGTATGAATCATTTTTGCATTTAAAAGCTTTATATTTAGCAAACGCTAAGCCAAAAAAACCAAGTGTTTTAGAAGTTCATTAAAACCAGATGTAAGATACTAAAGTTATTCTTAAACAAATTCTAAAAAAAAAAAAACAAATATTTTAAAATATTTTTATAGATTTTATAAAAAAAAAGTTAGTTTAAGCGTAAAAATTGTGTCGGATAGTTTTATCTACCTTAATTACATTTAATTTTACTATATTTTTTTGGTGTTTATTTCCAGTAAATCTGCATCGTCATTTACAGACGCATGGCGTTGACTATTTACAATTCTCATTTCGTTGGATGAACAATTTGCTGACACGCGAACTGCCGCTGCATTGTACGATCCGCTTGTGGGACACATATCTGGCCGAATCGGATGGCTTTGCCCTGTTCCATTTGTACGTGTGTGCGGCATTTTTGCTGCACTGGAAGGAGCAGCTAATGCAACAAAATGATTTTCAAGTAAGCTGCAAGTCGAGAGACTTAACTTTGTAAAGTTCTAATATTTATTTCCCACTTGTTTTAGGGTCTCATGTTGCTGCTACAAAATCTGCCAACACATAATTGGTCTGATCGCCAAATAAATGTTTTGCTTGCTGAGGCATTTCGCTTAAAGTTCACCTATGCGGATGCGCCCAAGCATTTGGAGACAAAAAGTTGACAAAAGCGACACAAACAATATAATAAATATACGTAACATAGAAATTAGTTTTTAACTACAACTTTTTGCGGTACACACACAAACACACATACATATACAATACGGATAAACATACATTTAATAATTATATACAATTTGTTATTAGCTTTTTGTTCTTTTGTTTCTTATCCCCCCATCTCAAGTAGGCAAAAATCGTAAAAAATATTAAAGTCGCTTTTTGTACATACAAAAAAAAGTTTTACACATTTGAAAGTTTCAATTGAAATTTGTCTTTTATAAAAACAAAGTCGAAGGCGTTTTAAATACTTTTTTTCCATATGAAAACTCAAAAAATAAATCAACTTGCGTGCAATAAAGCCAAAAGGGAGCGTATAACTATAATTATTAATTATCGTTTAATTCTGCCTTTCGGCGATGTGTTTTAGCTGCTTGAGCACCGTCTCCAGCAGCTTTTTCTTGTCATTTTTGCGCACCAGCGAGAATATTGGCTTCTTGTCCGCTTCGCGTATCTTTTCGAGTATCACAATTATGGACTGCGGCTGCACCAGATGATAGCGATTCTCCTGCTTGCCATAGTCATGGAAATATGTGCTCCATTCCTCCAGTATAAGCAGATCCAGCAGCTGTCGATTGCGCAGAAAATACTTGCTCAACTCGCCCTCCTTCAGGTTGGGCACGGGTTCCGAGGCGGCAAAGAATTCGCATTGCATTAGATCCAAATTGATTTGGGTGAGCGCACCCGTGGAGATCTGCTTGACATCCTCGTCGTACATTATAGAATAAATCTTCTCGGCAATGTGCTCAAAGGTGCGACGACAGGCGGCCTGTGCAATGTGCGGCAGCTTGAAGGCAAAGCTATCAAAGGTGCTCTTGAGGTACGAAATCATGTCCGTAATGAAAGCGGAGGCTATGCCGGGGGGCTCGACCAGCAGCCAATCGTAGGCACTCAGCTCAAAGAACTCATCAATCTTGGAGCAAATGCGCAGGCCCACCTGCTTCTCGGCATCCTGCCGTGCCACATGGAACATGGCCGAAGGCGTTTGCGACACACTCCGCTCAGTGTTCGTCATGTGACAGACGAACTCATCGAGGAACGGTCCCGCCTTCTCCAAGTACTGCGTGTCAATGATGATTTGGATGAGTTGCGTCAACGTGATGCTTGGCTGCCGGAACACAACAGACAGGCAGCCGCTAAAGCTGCGTGTCAGCAGCAAATTGGCAGCCTTGCGCACCATGGCAGCCACCTCGTTGGGCGAGAGAGTCAGCTCCTCCGCAAACTTCATGCAAGCGTACATAAACTCCTTGGCCTGATGGTAGACCTCCGGCACCATGCGGGAGAAGGGAAACTTCTTGGGGAACGGTGCATTCTCCAGTTGCTCCGAGTGGAAGGGAAAACGTTCAATGATGCTCTCGTATTCCTCCACATTTTGCACAACCATCGGCAGAAATTGCTCCTTGTCGAGGATATCGCGAAAGACATGAACCCAACGTTGCAGCAGCACCTGTAAAAGGAGAAATAATGTTTGATTATTTCTTTACTTATTGGCATGTCCCTGTGCTGCCCACCTCATTGTAATGATCTCTCATATTGTGCAGCAACTCCCACAGAATGTTCACCGTGTAGCCGTAACACTTGAATGTGTTTATGGACAGCATAATGAGGTTCTTGATGCGCAGCAATATATTTGGATCGGTGCAGGAGGACGAACTCATGCTGATTTCGTTGACAAACTTTGTCAATGAGTTGGACCAGAGTTCCTCCAGATAACTGCTGTTTACCACATCCCCCGCTGTATTTTTGACATGATCCTCCACCACAAAGAAGCCAACAATGGCGCAAATGTACGTTTTATAGGC